TATATTCATTTCCCCGCCTTAAAAAAAAGTTTGACATTTCTGAAGTTTCTGAAGAATTTTCCCACAATCACCAAATTCGAAAATGGTTCTCTCAAACCAAATATGTATACAAGCATAAAAATAATAGTAATAATAAACCGTTCTTATTAAGTGCATTACACACGGAGTCCCAATGTCCAAATATCCAGAATAGAACAGATCTAGCAAATTAGGGTCGTTAAAACAAGAATGATGTATGGTGTTTACCACCTTTTTTCAGTGGAGGGGGGGGGGTCTTTAAATGATGCAGTCCACTACATTCTAGCCTCAAACCTTATTGTAATGGATTCCATACATGCACCAAGAGGGCACTCTTCTCAAACTCTTCACAGCATGTGAAGAAGGACATTTTGTTCCCTGGTTCCCTGTTCATATAATTACATTCATCGGTATGGCATGCATCATTTAGGCTATGGCACCCAGTGGTCCTTCAAATAAGGTGGTCTGTTTATGCTCGTACTGTTGAGGGAGCACTCGTGCATCAAGCCCAAACCACTGTTGTTAAGTTACGTGTAGGTGCGCCAATTGATGATAATAGTAATTTGACGATGACCTTACTGCTTTCATACCAATGACAATTGTAATGTATGCCAGTGAGCAGGTTTGTTTTGTTTCGTTGTGTTGATAGTGTTCTTTTTTCCCCTTTACATTACAACCACACCAAAAACCAGTACCAGTATGCAGTTAAGGCCATCACAAGTCCATCACAAGTCCATCACAAGTCATTTACAAACATCCAGTCAGAAATCAAGCCACAAGCTATTCAAATGAATTGTGACAATGGCATTCTTGTCATTTACTGTTCATCCCTGTTATATACTTGTGATCGAATTTGTGAATTGATATGTGATTTAAGCCATTGCCTGCTATTTAAGCAGTCACAGGCAGGCAAACTCACTTCCACTGCTATACTTCTAACCAAGGCTGATCACCAGCAGTCAGATCATTATGTCAAGCAAGTACTTTGTCGAGTCAAACCGGGTCAACAGACAAAGCAGGCAAGTTGTGGTCACAGCTGTGTTATCACTCTCCTGGAGTCAAAGCATAGCTGTATCAAGTTACTTGAGCAGTCCTGGGCAGTCAATCCTGATTTTATGTGTGCTGGGAGTTTGTGAGGGTTGAAAACAGTGACTTGATTGATTCTGACTGGAAGGACAACTTGGCACAGAATGTATGTTTGCATTAATTGCATAGGAGGGTTAATGAGAGGAATCGTAAGGCAAAATTTAAAAGAAAAACATGTTAAGTATCCTGCCTTTTTGAAAAAAAAAAGAAGAAGCCGGAGGTTTTTTTGTGTGTGCAAAATGGCCGCCCAACGGGCTATTTTTCAAGATGGCCGCTGATTTTATTTCTAAATGGCCGCCATTGGACACGGGAAAGACCTACCAGCTTTATATAGGCTAGATGCAACAGTAAAAGATGCCAAAATGATGTCATTGTTGAAAATATATATATGTATTTTTTTTTCAGTTTAAAAAAGAAAGAAAAAAAGGAGGCGTCCTCCAAAAAGGAAGCAGGCGGGGACACTAAACTTTTTAAAATTTATTTGGCCAAATGGACTTGTCATGCTTGTGACCTGACTTGTGATTGACTAGTGATGGTCTGTGCCTACAGCACTGCGACAAACTCACAAACCTTCACAGGTCATCTCGTATTGTGAGAGTGGCAACGAGTTGACAGTCCGAAGATGCGTCATAGATATTCTTCTTCCTCCCTTTAATGACAAACATTCCAACTAACCCATATCCGTAAACGATACTCACAGAAATACATCAGCTACATGCTAAGGCTTACATGAAAATGTACACTTCTTTTCCTTTCTTCATATTACATGTACCTTTTCCTTTCCAGTTTGCGTTTGTTTTCTCTGCATGCGTGTGTGTGTGTGTCTAAATAGCCTTGTGTTCAAATGTATCTATTTTGTTTCTGTTTAATATTTTATTTACATTGATTGCATTGATTTTCATTTATGAGCATTGGACCTGAAATTGACTTTCACATGCATGTTGTTGAATAATTTATAGCATGCTTTGCGGTCTAAAGACTCAGTTTGATTTTGATATGTGTCTGCCAGTTAATAGTGGCATGGTCCCTCAGTCGGCAAATATTGCCATATTGACATATTTTAATCATTAACAACCCATGAAAGTTTGTAGTTGCGGTCGGTGAAATCATTTTTTTTTTGGCAACTCGCTTCTGCGCTAGAGAAATCAGGCCTGTGTGCGTCTTGAGTGTACTAATAAACCCTAAAACAGATCATTTCTTTTCCTTTTGTTTGTTTGTTTGTGTTCTTCGATTTCTTTGTTCTTATTCTTTTTTTAATTAATGCCCAGTATTTACTGTTCCTCCAACAAATGCCATTCCTTATAACTTGTGAAGATAACACTATGGTCCCCCGTACACACACGTATGTACAGGTCTAAGTTTTATAAGCATGTGTAACATTTTTACAGTTGTGTACAAACCTAGTGAATAACCTTCGCCATAATCCTTTATTTTGTAAAAAGCTTGCCGAAAGTTTCAAGATAGCATCATTAAAATGGCTCTTTATTTGTTCAACACCCAATTTGCATGCTTTGTTTAACAGGGTTCGACTTTAGCGGTAGCCCGCTAGCCAAATGCTAGTCAAAACAGCGACGGGCTATAGTCAAGCTATTCCTTAAGTTAAGTAGCCCGGCTGGCGAGTCAAAACATATTGGGCTACGGCAAAGATGAAAGGACAGGAAGAAATAAATCATTCAATTCAGAAAGCAAACCTGTATCAATATTTTTGTCTAATTTTATTAACTGTTCAGGGTTAAATTAGAAGATCTGTTTATTAAAAACACTGACAAGATTGCCTCATGATACACGTTTTACATGTATGCACATTGTTGTTCATGAGACACTATATAAGAAAAAAACATGTGGGCTAGTGAAAATGCCTGCAGGTTAGTATGTTTCAGTAGCCCGGCTGGCTAGTGAAAAAAAAAAGTTAAGGTCCAACCCTGTACAATACATTTTCTTACTCAACACTTGGGTAACTGCTCTCTGTAATACATTGTTCATGTTGCCATTGCTTATGACTGCTCTCCATCAATTGTTTTCGCATTGGCGATGCTTTCCATCTGTTGGCAGACAGCAAGACAAGGTAACACTTTTCCCCGAAAGAACAATAATTAGCATAAAGGTCAGCGAGGTCAAAGGTTAGAGGTCCTGCAGCTGTTAAGAGTGAAGATGGAGCTTGAAGAGAGGATGTCCCAAGTCTTGAAATCATACATATAGCCACAGTGTTGGATATCATTGAAACAAACTAAAGTCAAATGTATACCAAGCAGCACAGTAACCAACAATCTTCACCTTCCAGAAAAGAAAAAAGAAAAAAACTAGAGATGAAACTCTCCGATTATTTTCCCCAAAGAGGGAGTCTATTAGAGTTCAGGAAGTCTGCTGACAAGCTCCATCAATTCCATTTAGTGCGCTCATCATATCAGTTGTGCTCTATTAATTCTGGGAAAGTTTAGGAAGCGAAGAGGTTTTGCATCGATTCACACAGGTAACTCTATTCTGACTACATAGACACTCTCTTCGGACATTCTGTTGAGTGATAGCATGATAGCACAGCCCTTAGGCAATTAAGGCATATCACATTACCAAAGAGCTACTCATTTGTTGAAACAAAACCTTGACTCCTGAGCTCTACCCAAACTACAGAGGGCGCTATTCCTCCTAACAGAGATATTAGATGTAAGTTCTCTCATTGTAAACCATGTCAAAACCAGTTTCCAAAAGTGCCCGATCTTGTCACCGAAAAATAAAGGTTAACCATGCAAATAGGGTGCAACCAAATAAATAATTTCCCATAGAGACCAGTGATGAATCCCTATACTTCAAAATTCTTGTAAAAATACTCTAAACTCTCACATGTGTTCAGGCTGCCCAGAAAAAATGATGATCAGTGATGATTTCCGTTAAATTTTTGGTGGGTTGACCAGTGAATTTTTGAGAAATTCTCACCCAAAGAAGACCACCCATAACACGAATAATATTTCCCAAACTGGAAAAGAGCAATTTTAAAAAAGGATCCCTCCACAACAGAGCTACTTTCGGACCCAATTGCATCCAAAATGCTGAGGATTGGAAGCCCCAAGTCCAGTAGCCCCAAGTCCAGTCCAGAGGTGCAGTGCATTATGTCCTTAGTCCCCCAATTCCGTGGCTCTCAAAACTCTCTGATATAGCATAATTTGAATGTATAATTTCTATTCATGAGCTCGGCAGCCGGATTTTTGGCCTACTTACTCGGATGCACCCCTAAACTGCAATGTACATGTGTATCATTGAAATTATTGGAGCAAGTTTCAGCATGAAGAGATTGTGATTATGAACCAAAGATAGACCAACTTCGCTCGAAACCACAGTTGTCAAAACTATAGTTGATTGCTAGTCTATAGTCACTGACTGGAAGCAACCTACTGAGATTGGTTACCAGTAGCCATGTACATCGTCAGGTACAAGAATGTTCATGATGATGATGCTATGCCCATAGTAAGACTAATTGACACGTTCCCTTTAAAATATTAGCAACCACAAGTCAACCTGTGTGGCTATCCATTGAACCATAGAGCAAGGAACTAAATACCTCGTGCTTCTTGATTTGCATTCAATTTAGGATGTTAAAATGATATCCAACACCCACAAAAAGGGAAGAGTAGTTTTTAGTAGACATTTTAAATAATAATTTTCTTTGTTTCATTGTTAGGTCGACCTAGTTACACCCAAGATGTTGGCATTCTGGCTTCCACTGATGTTCAAGGAAAAGAAAGGACGAAATACAACCAATTTTAACTTGAACCATTCTTTTTATCAACATCTCATTGGCATTTTTGTTGTGTTTTTATTAATATATTTTGGGTTGTGGGGAGCTTTTTAACAATGTTCTAAAACGCCAAGTTCTGTTGGTTTTCACGCATGCATTTTTTTAGGTTTGGGTTGCAGCCGCAGCTCAGAATTTCAACTCCATCGGCATTGCTTTTGGGTCCATGATAGCCTTCTCCAGCTACAATGACTTCCACAGCAAAACGATCTTTAGGTAAGAAAATATCCATCTTAAAGGGAAAATACAACATTTGCAAACATCAAAAAATAAAACTACCTAGTGATTTTGAAATACCTTGCTGTTAGTGAATGACAGTCTAAAGCATCCTGTAAAATCATGGCACGTGGTATACTATCATTTTCAAGAAAAGTGGTATTTTTGTATAATTTCCAACGCTGGTTGGCCGACCATCCAGCATTGGAAAAAAACTGGCTTTTTTCAAATACTGGCCTCAGTTGACCACAGTCCACATTTGTTCGCAATTGATTACACACCTATGAACGGTACAAGCCAGCTAGACTAAATCCCTGACCTTACAATTCCCCAATGTCTATAAATGACTCTGTTTCATCTTAAATGGAATCAGGGAACCAGACTACAGAAAAATGATTGTTTTTCTTGGTTTTTATAGCATCTACGAACCCAAAAACGTCAAAACAGTCAGTGTAACAATATTTGCTATATATTACCAACCCCCCATCCATCCATTACTGAAAATTACAGCAAAAGCAAATGATGTATATTCCCTTTAAAAAGAGTGCAAACTCGCTCCTCCCTATCTACACTCTCCCTCCCCCTCCCCCTCCCCAACCCTTTTATGAGAGTGCTTTGATCAAACCTCTTTTGTATTCATCTTCGCACCCAGACTAAGATTTTAGGTTTACAAACTGAGCATTTTCACAAGATACATAGATTTGGCCATCTTTCCTCACAAGTGCCACCTCGTGTGGGGACCTACATGTAAACACCCCCCCCCCCCCCAAAAAAAAAAACCCACCAAATTAGCGAAATTGCCAGCTGGGCCTACATCTGCACATAAATGCAAGACTTCTTTATCGTTTAAAGGAGAAAATATGTCCGATGCAAATCCTTTAAAGGGAATATACATCATTTGCTTTTGCTGTAATTTTCAGAAATGGATGGAATTGGGGGGTTGGAAATATATAGCAAATATAGTTACACTGACTTTTTTGAGGTTTTGGGTTCGAAAATGCTATAAAAACCAAGAAAAACAATCATTTTCCTGTAGTCTGGTTCTCTGACTCCATATAAGAAGAAACAGCAGTTTACATACATTGGGGAATTGTAAGGTCAGGGACCAGTCTAGCTGGCTTGTACCCGTTCATAGGTGTGTAATCGATTGCAAACAAGTGCGATGGTAAATTGGGGCCAGTATTTGGAAAAAAAGCCAGTTTTTTCCAACGCTGATCGGCCGACCAGCGTTGGAAATTGATACAAAATACCACTTTTCTTGAAAATGACAGTATACCAGGTGCCATGATTTTACAGGATGCTTTACACTGTCATTCACTAACAGTCCAGCAAGGTATTTCAAAATGATTTGGTAGTTTTATTTTTTGATGTTTGCAAATGTTGTATTTTCCCTTTAATTAAAGTGAGATTCATACTTTGCATCAGGTTATGATCACCTGTACAGCTGTTAATCCATAGATTATCATACATGTGTTACTGCAACTGAAGATTCACAAACACTTTTGAGTTTCTGCCCAACTTTGGTAAGTGCTGGTATTTTGGTCTAACCCAGCGGAAGTTTCTACTATAGTTAACAAAGATTTTTGGCTAAGAGTAACCAAAGCCATGATTGGGCCCTGGTTTTTTTTTTAGTTTCGAATAAATGCTGTCACGGTTTCATGACAATTTTCATAATGCTTGTCACCTTAATTAGCAAAAGATCTAGTCTTATTAAGCCATATGATTAATGTGCATTGTTGCAGAACAGTGATTATGTAGGCAGCTGTTCATTTGAATATACTGTGGTTAACTGGATAGATTGTGTGCTAGCCTTGAATACATATTTTTGGGGTCTAAAAGATCATATAACCAATGAAATATTAACTCTTTCATGCATACCCTTAAGAAAATTAACAAGTTTTCATGATACCACACAGAAACTACATCGTAAACGCACCATCACTTTTGAATAACATGTTCTTTTATAACTTGCATACCAATACTTTTCTGTAGCAAACTCCTGCACAGAAAAAAAACCCGCTTTATTCCTAGTTTTCTGTATTTTGACGTCCAGAACCTATTTTGAAAATTGTGAGAGTTTGTGGTGATGAGAATTTAAAAGAAAGACTATTTTCTATTTTCAAGGGAAAAGATGCCTGAAATTTTCAGTGGAAATATAATGTGGACAAAATCTTACAAATTCACACACTTTGTCAAACAACCCTGTGAGTCTGTTTTGAAATTTTCTCGCTTAATTTAAACTTTACTCTCGCACTTTGTTGATATGGGCCGGTTTTCATGGATTTAAGCAGGTAATGTGTTGGTTGACTTTACAGCTGCTCACAATCAGCATAAAAAGAAAACATATGCACTACACAAGATGTGAAATTTTTGTGACATTTTTGACATAACGGTGACATTTTGTACACGACATTTTTGTTGAGAACCTGTTTTTGTCGTGCTACATGTAAAATGGGAATACCACCTGGAGTTGATTTCATTTCCATAGAGCAACAGAATCGCTTAAAGGGAATACATGTATACAACATTTGCAAACATCAAAAAACAAAACTACCGCATTATTATGAAATACCTTACTGGACTGTTAGTGAATAGCAGTCTAAAGCATCCTGTAAATCATGGCACCTGGTGTGCTTGCATTTTCAAGAAAAGTGGTATTTTTGTATTAATTTCCAACGCTGGTCGGCTTGCCCGCTTAAGGGCCTGAATTTTTTCTTTGATTCTAGCACGCTCTGTGGTGCGACCTCAGGCAATTTTCTGACTACTTTTACCAATACGTTTGAGCAAAAGATCATGATTTAAACATCGTTTTCAAGTTTTATATATTTAAATTTTTTGGGGGCGTGAGAAAAACCGTGAGATCAAGAGTTGGCAGCCCTGGTACAATCAGTCACTAATTTTTGTTAATTTTTAAATCTGGGAAGCTGTATTGGTTAGCAATTAACATAAATAGCCTACCAAGGAAAATATTGTGTGTAAACATACACGTGATAAGAACCTGGATGTGTAGGTCAGGGCCACCTTGCCTTCTTGCTTTGATAATTGATGACGCACCTAATTTCAAGATACGAGTTTGGTTTCCTTGGTTCATGTCAATGGGGAGAGGGTATTGTGTCAAGTACATATTGTGGCCTTGAATTTTTTTCGGATATAAAGTTGGCCCTTCTGACAAAGGTTACAGATCAACACAGTTTCGTGAATCTGGTGTCACATTCATGCCTAATAGGAATTTCCTGCCTTGGTCTACAGCGAAGGAAGCATAGGACATCTTGTGTCCCAAAGCAAGACACTTTTCTCTCAATCTTTCAATTGATCCTTTTTATTGCCAAGAGAGCCTTAAAATGGCTGGCTGACAGGCAAGTGTGCAGTATTAGCTATTATAGCATAGAAACTGTGCATAAACAGTTTAAACTTTAAAACTTTGAAAAGAGCAAACTTTGCTCCTTTCTGTACTGCAAAAAAACCAGAGGTTTTTAAACCATACCATTACCAATTTACATTTCTCTTTATACTTCTATTCAATATACAGTGCACATGGATGATTGAAAATAACAATCACAAATACATTTGAAATGTATGCATTTTCAATATGACTTCTTTTCCATCGAACATTAACTGGTGACGGCAATTTAAAAACTAAATTGCCATGAACATTAGTGACGGCAGTTTAAAGACTGGGTCGGAAAAGTAGTCATTTTTAATAATGCATAAATGTTGTTATTGTTATTATTTTCAACCACCCATGAACAGTGTATATTGAAGTGAAGTAGTAATGTCCATGGGCGTAGCGAGGAGGGGGCAAGGGGGGGGGCACTTGCCCCCCCCCCCCTGGAAAAGCAAAAAAAAAAAAAAAAGAATAAGAAAAAAAACAGAGAAAAAATAAAAGAAAAAGAGGGGCGAAGACAAAGTGGTGTAAATTTAATGTTGGGGGGGGGGCAACATGTCCCTGCCCCCCTCTAAAACTGATAAATTGAGAATATGTTGAGAAATGCAAGCATTTTTGGCAAAAAAAAATGTTTGCCCCCCTCTAGAAAAAATCCTGGCGACGCCCATGGTAATGTCAATTGGCATGGCCTGCTTTAAAAACTCTTAGTTGTATGCAGTACAGAAATGCAGCACAATTTGCTCTTTTCAAAGTTTAAACTCTTAAATTTTAATAAATATTTCGGTTTCTGTTCTCTTTTTTAACACCTACGTATCAATGGCAATAAGGATAATACAGGGTTCAGCAAGTATGAAAACAGTTAGAAAGGTAAAAAATCTTGATGTTGAGGCAGATTACTCAAACATGTAAAAAAAAATTGAAACTGAACAGTGTCTGGAGGTCAGGCTATTATTAAGCATCACTGTGCTGTATGGTATTCCATGGCCATAGCCTGGAGGTCAAAATACAAAGGTGGGTTCCTTGTTTATCCATGGTCAGTTGACCATACTAGTTAGCGGCTCGATAACAGTGATGGGTCACTGGAAGGGCAACTCTGAAATAAAATGCCCCCCCCCCCCCAACAGCAAAACAGAAATCTTAACCTGTCCAAGGTATGAAATAGTGTTGGCCACCTGACCTGTGACTGATACCTAAAGTATAAAGACAATTGTTGACCTTAATGGACACAATTGAGTTAGGAACTTAACTCCACAAAGGGCATTCAAATATTTTGGAGCAAGTTATAACACAGCATTGAATATAAAGTTGAAATGGTGCATGTCATCAGGCCTTCAAGGCATCTTTTCAAACCATACTACATTGTATTTTATTGTGTATGGTATGCTGACGCAATGAACCCAGTGCATAAACTACAGAGGGGGCTGTTTGGTCTGCTCACAAGAGCCAGTGAAAGACATCATTGGCTGCGCACAGTTGACACATTGTGCAAAGTTCACAAAACTATAGCAACTTTGCATGAGGGGAATTCGCATGTAGGTGAATATTGGCACATAGCAAAATGGCACAACAGTCTTTCGAAACCGATGAAGACATAATATTTACAGAGTTTATTAAGTTGCATAGTAATCACTTTTTAAGCTTTGGGGTCATGGGTTAAGGCTGCTTGATAAACTCGGTTTCGTCAATCTAGAAAATAATCTCCAACATTTGTGGAGCCTAATGTTGACAAGTTAATGTAAAATTCATACCGATGGTTAAAAATCTTCTAGAGTTTTGTTGTTATTGTTGGAAACCAAACTTTATCGTTGCCACTTGACTGTGTACATTTACAAAGTACAAAGATCAAACCAGGTTAAACAAACAGCAGCGTTTATCATAAGATATGAATTTGTTTTGCACTTGCAAAGATCCGACAGATAAAGATTAAAGATGGGGAGTAGGTCAGGCTTGAGGCGAAACTAGATTGCTTTTTTTGGGGGGGGGGTTGATGAAGGGATGGTCTTGAGTTGTGAAGTTCTTTGCTTTGGAAGTATGGGAATAAATCCCCCCTTCACTGTAAATGATCGACATACCGTAACAATAAGCCATTTGCGAGTAACCTATACCCTTTGGGATTTACATTTCAATAACATCTGGTACACTGACTTGCTCAGAATGCTTGGCACATTTTAACTTTGAATTCTCCAGACCAAAGACACTGTTGCTAATCACATGATTCGGGGCAAGCTCTTGCATAGTTACGTAAGAGACGCTCAGCATCAATACATCGCTCACAATGGGTGAGAATGGCACAAAGACACCAGACCATGCCAGAGCTGGGTGTTGCTAGCATAAGGCTTGGCCCGAATCACGTGATGTAGTAACAGTCTCTTTGGTCGGGAGAATGCAAAGTTAAAATGTGCAAAGCATTGGATTAAGTCAGCGTTCCAGATTTTATTCAAATTTAACTCGCAAATGGCTTATTGAATTGGGTCATTTGTAGCCTCTCATTTGTAGCCTATGACAAGCACAGATAACTAACAATTTGAAAGTTTTGAAAAATACTCGACTCCCAATTTACAACTCCAGAGCCATTAAAGATTCTCAAACAGAAATAGGAAAAAAAACCTACAAATGGTGCTGAAATGAAAAATATATGAATAATATTTCAGAGGTGTTTGTATTTATCAATACTTGATGCAAGAAAATGTGTTCCTGTCAATAGGAAATTACACCAATAAAAAGTTAACCTTTCCGGATTGCAAACGTCATTGGCAAATGCAAGCGTCATAAACACCATCAGTTTTGTACACGACTGTGGACATAAAATCTTTTTATCCATTATCACTGTTTCTGAAACGTTTGTAGATTTTTCTTATTTCCATTTCTTCAAACGTTGAGAGCTTCCAACTCCATTCCAAAGCTGAAACCTAAACCTTTGCAATTGCTAGGACCACAAAAATTACGTGACTTTTGAGTCAAAACCATAGCCAAAGTTCCACAAATTGTCACATTACGTGGCTATGGTTATGGTTTTACCAGTGTTTCCTCAAATTCTATAGCCATCAATAAACATTCCTTCAGAAACGGCCACACAGTGTTCCCAATCCAACAATAGTTTTTTCAAAATATCACAATATTGCATTTATTTTCTGTTTACCAGAGCAGCATTGTAAATTTTATGTTAGCATTGTGACTTCGGGCATGATCCCTTGATACTTATAACTTGAAACTTATACCATATAACAAGTTCATGGCTTCTGAGTTGCATGCTTTGAACAAAGACTTAGACAAAAAGGGGAACAGCCAGCATAGGGCTGGATACATGAAGCTCAGGTGGTTGAGCACCGGAACGGCAATCCAGAGTTCCCAGGTTCAAACCCCACTCCAGTCAATTTCCGTGTTCAACTCTTTTTAAAAAGTTGTTTTCATTATCGTTTTCTGCGTAGGGATACGTTCAGCATCACTCTGACCAATAGCTTGACCAGCCTGTTTGCCGCTGTCACCATCTTCTCTGCCATCGGTTTCATTGCTCACGTTCAAGGTGAAGATGATGTGGGCAAGGTCATCAAGCAAGGTAATTTTTCACAGGGTTGGAGTTCTCGAGTCCGGTCTCTGTCTCGACCAATCTCAAGACCCATTTTTGCACTCTCTGTCTTGACTTGGTCTCAAACTTGTAAGGTTTTGGTCTGGTCTTTCTTGTTGTTTTCTTTTAACAGTTTGACTTTTTTCTGTTGCACTGGACTAGCATTTAATTTATTAGGTTCTCTGTCTGGCTTAGCATTACCTTCTTTAATCCTACAAAAACTCCAAATTGTTAAGAGGACAAAAAAGTGTAAGGGTTTAAAGTTATTGTTGCGAATCCTTTCGTGGCAAAAGCCCTGCAACACTCAGCCACCATCTTGTCAGCAATTGTTAGTAACTCAGTAACAATGAGTGCCCAAGATTTCTGCTCATGAGTATCCCTGTTGAACAAAAGTATGCAACTCGGAGGTAGCTGCAATGTAAAAGATATGTACAGATGTTTTTGTCTGCATGTGATCCGTCATTTATCCGCCTGGCAGTGAGGATCGTCATATCTGCATGCATTTCTGTATGACTTTTCAGGCCCTGGTCTGGTGTTTGTGGTGTATCCAGCCATCTTCAGCACCATGCCAGCCCCGCAGCTCTGGTCCATTCTCTTCTTCATCATGCTGTTCTGTCTTGGAGTCGACAGCCAGGTTGGTGTTTGTGTTATTTCATTCTGCAGCCTCTGGGTGATTTACACGCACTGTTGCTTTCCCAAAATGTGACACAGTATGCGTAATGCATTGGCATTTTTTTGTAGACCTCAAAAGCCAATTTAGCAGTAAGGTCTACTCATAGAGCTATATTAAATTACTAGAGCGCTAACTCGTCATTCTGCGCGCGGAGATGCTTTGAAGCCGTCCTGGGCGCAGACATTTTGAATTCATATGCGTGTTTGTAGAACATAATGAAATTAGATTGATTGAATTTTGAAAGTGTTCTCTACATGCAACGCGCAAGTAGAATGTACGCAAACAACTTAAGCGCATAATTGACAGTTCAAAAAACGTGACAGCAAACAGCATCTGCAGGGAATACGCGCACGCATTGCGCTGTTTGCGTAGAGAGCAAAATGACACGCTCATTTGCTGATCGTGCGTTTCGGTTTTGGGCGTATTGGCTTCGATAACGCACCGGTATGAAATACAAACGCAGATATGCAAATAGCCGTACAAAAGCCGTTCAAAATTTCTAGGTCTCCCTAGGTTTGTGCACAAACATGGATGCGCCCAGCAGGCATTACTTTGTACACGAAGTTAGCGCTCTAGTAATTTAATATAGCTCTATGGGTCTACTTGACTCTTGAGTATAGACTAATTCCGCAAACAAAATAAGAAGCCAGTTTTAGTGTGATCCGTTCATGTTCGGAAAAAGTTGACAAGTTTTCACTTGGAAATTTGTGCCCCACCATGCAAACTTAAAGTCTTCAACATAGTTTTCTCAAAGAGCATTGCCCTTACTTAGCTTTCAATTTTCAGTTAGGCAGCTTGGTTTAGGTTATCAAAACTGCTTTAACCCTAACTCCATAGGCCTTTTTGCTAGGATGTAGCCTCAATCCTTGAAAATACTCCAATATTTCTTGAATATGGTCCGTGGAGGGCGGGGTGACCAATGCCTGAATCCTGCAAAATCCTGCGGCAGTGACTGTCAATATGTTGAGGCTTGGCCAGTGCCATCCTGGAGCAGTACAGAGGATTTCAAGCCTAATCCAGGCCTACATTTATGCATGGCTGAGCAAAAACAACACAAGGTCCGGCCTAAGACCTTGACAAAGTGCATCCTACAAAATCAGTAACGAACTTTTGCCATGTAACCTCAATCCTCCAAATTTCTTTGCCACTTTGGCAAAGAGGATTTTGAAGGATTCAGGGCGGTTTGGTTATAAGTAAGGCAAAGTTGTAGCCTCTTTTTTATTTGCCCATTTACTCGGCAACCTTGCTAAAAAAATATTGATCTTACTACAATAATCCCTTCATTCTTACTGTACAGTTTGCCATGGTGAAGGTTGTCATTGCTACGTTTTCGGATGGCCTGCCCAAGCTGCGTCGCTTTTACTTCAACCGCCGCGAGGTTCTGGTGCTGTACATCTGCATCGTATCATTCCTGTTGGGCCTCCCACACATCACCCAGGTAAACAGGTCCTCAAAGTTTTTTGTTTAAAATGGGAAAACAATCTGAAAGGGGGTTATGGCAGGCGTACAAGAATTTCTGTACATACCTAAAGTTCCTGTACCTTGGAAAATGTTTTACTCTGAAGCCCTGCGAGGAGGATATGTGAGGTTTTACTGAAAAACTTAGACATCTGAGGATTTACTTTCATGGATGATTCAGAGGCGCTCCTCCAACTAGAGGTTTTTGAGATTTCGCTCAAACCTTTTGAGCTTTTACGCCAATCTTTGATGTACATATACCTGAGGGTATACTTCAATAGGGGTTCTGAGGTTTGGCTCTAAACTGATTTATGACGTATTTCCAAAAACCTCACTTTGAACCTATGAGGTTTACTCGTATTTTGGAGGTATCTAAAGGCTTCACTTCAGTAGAGGTTTCTGAGGTTTGGCTACTGAATTTTGAGGTATTACCCAAAACCTCAAAGAGGTTTCAAAATCATTACAGATAATTCCACTGTTTTTGCTCAGAATTTTTGATGTTTCTGAGGTATATAAAGAAACTCTTCAAGTGTTCAAAATATCAGAGATATCTAAATGAATACTGTATGCAGAGCACTTACTACTTCATGTTTACTTTTTAAAATGGCTCAATCTTAATGTTAATCTTAAATAAAATTGGGGGAAAAAATCAATTAGGGAAGAGAGGTGGTTTTTCACAAATGGCTGACCCATATATGCATGGTACTGTCTCTTGCAGGGTGGAATGTATGTCTTCCAGATCCTCGATTGGTACAATGCAATTGTGTCTCTCTTCTTCATTGCCATCTTTGAGGTCACATCTGTTGCCTGGTTTTACGGTGAGGATTCTGGGGGGGCCACTAGTACGAGTACTTGTATTCCGAGTACAAGTACTTGTATTCTAAATACGAGTACGAGTACTTCATTTCCGAATACGGCCATATGGCAAATGGTTCATTGTGCGTAATTGGCCCCAGGCCCAGTCAGACAGATATACAGACCCACTCACGGCTAGCTGTTAAATGTGTTTGTCTGGACGTGCACAGAGAAAAATCAGGAAACTTTGATTTCTTCACAAGCCAATCAACCATTTAAACTGAAAGTATCGATAAAATAAGGTCGTAGTTATAAAGTCATAAGCTATACCATTTTCCCCCCGAATACTGCTATTCGAGTATGAGTACTTTGATGATCGAGTACAATTTCGACATGTCGAGTACGAGTACATTGCTGCCCAATAAAAGTACCGTCATGTCGAGTACGAGTACTTCGACATTCGAGTACGAGTACGAGTACGAGTAGTCTAAAAAAAGTACTCGAGTAGTACTCGAGTGCGAGTACCGAGTACGAGTACTACAACACTGTCACTAACTCATTAGCCCGTTTGAGATATAGCGGTCGGCGCATAGGAGGGCTCTATTTTGTTTTGGCAAATACATGTACAAAGGAGTTTATCCAACCAAACAAATTAGCCCCCTCCACTGCATCAGCCATATTTTAAAAAAAAATTAATAGCTGCCCTTTCAATAATGTGAAATTACATTTTGAATGTTTGTTTTCAGGTGCCAAGAGATTGGCTCGTAACATGAAGGAGATGACTGGAACTGCACCTAACATTATCTTTGTTATCTGTTGGGTATTCCTGTCCCCTGCACTCATCCTGGTAAGACAAAACAGTATGCTGCCCTCTACAGTTGAACAAGGAGTTTTAACAAAATCAAACCTTTTATCTATCCCCTGCCTACACAGCAGATACCATGCTGTCAAGTTTTGACTATGTACATAAACTCGCGATTGAGAAAACTGTGGGGTTCCCACAGCCCTGGAAAGATCCTGGAAAGTCCTGGGAATAGCTATCATGGGAAGTCATGGAAAAGTCATGGAAGTTTGTTATTTTACAAGGAGTCATGGAAAGTTGATATTCCATTTAATAAAAAAAACAGGCATGGGATCCTGCACAACCCATATGTGATGGTGCGTACTATTTGGCAGTCTTCCCGTTTGCATTTGAGTTTACTGTACTTCCACTTTGTGCATGTATGCTTTATATTTACTTGTGAGGTTTGCGGTAACACCATGTGGAATAATCTCCTTTGAGAAGAAAGAAGTGTGGTTCTGAAAGGAACCAGTTGGTTGTGAAACTCGACGCTCGGAGCATAGTGATTGGATCAGAACATACTGATCGGATCAGAGCATGCTGATCGGAACGGCGAGTTACACAACCAACCGGCTCTTTCAGAACCATACTTCTCAAAAGTGATTATTTCACATGGTGTTGCCGCAAGCCTCACTAGTATACACTAGCACCATGCACACATACTGGAATCTGTGTCCTTGTGGAGTCATTGCTTTGTTCTCGTGTACTAAAATTTTAGAGTTTGAAAGTGTAGTTTCAAAATGCTCCTTTTTCAACCCGATTTAATTTCCTGGGCTGGAATTCCGACTTAATATCCCTTACCTAAAATACTTCAATTTGCGACAAATCAACATACCTTGGAAATTCCTAGTTTTTTGAGTAAAATCCACATATCTATTTCGTGATAACCTTGTGGAGACGTATTCACCTATAGAAATTGCTCTGTGGAGACATATGCAATCTTTTGTTCCCTATTATGCACATGTCTCCACAGGGTACCGTGTACCAGATCAAAATTTCAAATCCTATTGATGCTTTATACTTGTTGCACCTTTGTTGTACTATCTTGTGGTGCTCAGTGTTCTTGTAAACAGGTTCCTATGATGCCAAAACCGTGTAGGAAGTTTGTATTGGAAAAGTCCTGGAAAAGTCATGAAATTTCATTTTAGGATTTCTGTGGGAACCCCATTTTCAAATGGGGCCGGATGCCCCGCAAGAATTGAAGTAAAAATTGCATGTGTATGTACGTGCCGTTAGTAAAGAGGTGATTTTCCCCCTTCCCCTTTGCTGTTTCTTAGGTCATCATGATATTCCAGTTCATTGACTACAAGCCAGTGGAGTATGGCACCTACGAGTTCCCAGGTTGGGCCATTGCCATCGGCTGGTGTGTTGCCTTCATGTCCTTCTCTTGTATCCCACTGGGGGCGGTCCACACTCTGCTGACAACCAAGGGAAGCTTGAAGGAGGTAGGTATCTCGATCGTGGACTAAACCCCCCCCCCCCCCCCCCCCCAAAAAAGAAAATAGACATTCTCGTTTGTTGAGTTACAAACGCAGGGTGATTGGGCTCGCACTTTGTCCGATTAAAGGGAAAATACAACATTTGCAAACATCAAAAAATAAAACTACCAAATCATTTTGAAATACCTTGCTGGACTGTTAGTGAATGACAGTGTAAAGCATCCTGTAAAATCATGGCATCTGGTATACTGTCATTTTCAAGAAAAGAGCTATTTTTGTATCAATTTCCAACGCTGATCGGCCGATCAGCGTTGACCTGACCTTACAATCCCCAATGTATGTAAACTGCTCTGTTTCTTCTTCAATGGAGTCAGGGAACCAGACTACAGGAAAATGATTGTTTTTCTTGGTTTTTATAGCATTTTTTAACCCAAAACCTCAAAAAAGTCAGTGTAACTATATTTGCTATATATTTCCAACCCCCCCAATTCCATCCATTTCTGAAAATTACAGCAAAAGCAAATGATGTATATTCCCTTTAAGTTGTGAATATTTTAATGTCAGATCAGAAAAAGAATGACAAAACTCGGCCTTTCCAGTTCAACCATTTCTTTTCTTTTCAAAATATGATGCATCTTTTGGGTTTGATAAATTTCAGTATACAGGTTATTTACACGTACACCCTTTTTCCGGTTTGATGACGTCATTGGTTACAATGTACAGAGTCAATATTGGTTAAGTTCAGAGCAGATACATGTTAATCATGAAGTGCAGAAAACTTCTGAAAATATGGAAATGATAAGGGATGTTTAAAGGAAATATACAACATTTGCAAACATCAAAAACAAAACTACCAAATTATTATGAATTACCTTACTGGACTGTTAGTAAATAACAGTCTAAAGCATCCTGTAAAATCATGGCACCTGTTGTGCTGTCATTTTCAAGATAAGTGGTATTTTTGTATCAGCGTTGGGAAAAAGCTGGCTTTTTAAAAATACTGCCCCCAATTTACCATATTTAGTAAGTCCACATTTTGTTTGCAATCGATTACACACCTATGAACTGACTATTTTGAAATTCTCCCTACAATAACTTCACAAAAGGTACACAGGACCACACTGGCTGGTGTACACCAAAACTTGTATTTATGAAGAGCGCCCTCTAGTGGTTGTGATCTTGTAGTAAAGACTTGATGCTTTGTTGCATGCAAATCTGAGATTCACATTATTAGAAGTGGCTAAAATTCTTCTCTTTCTTCACATCCGGACCAACTTCCAACTTTGCATCTCAAAAGCCTGCACTACTGGCTGCACATCAGCTTTTTTCTTTGTAATGAGTATCTTTAAGATGTGACCCATCGTCATTGATTCAAATGGAAATAATTTTCTCCTGCTCGCAGCGTTTCCTGCTGAGTTTTCGCTCATCGATCGATGAAGCAACTTACGGCCTGCAGTTCTCCGAACCTCAACATAGCAACGACTTGCCTCCGTCGTACGAAACGGCCACCCAGACTGCAAAACTGTAAGGGGAAAAAGACAACATCCACATCTTACAAGGTATATCTGTACTCAACTGAACAGTCTGGTTCCGTCCATGTAAGGCTTCATGACAACAAAATGCGTAATTTCTGTACAATATCTTGAAAATGTGGAACCATGGATATGACGTGATAATGCTGTCTGCTACAGTTTGGAAAAAAAACTCAGTTTTATTTATGCGGAAATTTAAATAGGTGGTGAAAGTGTTTTGGTTTTGTTAGAGAGAGATAGGTTTAACAAGAAGTAAGCAGTTTTTTAGATCAACGTTTTGTAGCTCAAGCAATAATAGCACTTCTCAGTAGAAGCAAGCAAGATCACCAGACTTCTCTATAAAGTATAGAACCTTTACACGTGTCTGACACGCTTTAGTACATACGCTTGATTCTTAGGTGGATTTCAAACCAGTGCTGTTTATTAATGCTCTATTATTTCTGTATCAGAAATTCATTGACAAATTACATGTGAATAGTTTACATATGATCATTGCGGTAATTAGAGCTTCCTTAAACTTCTCATGTGCATGCGCATTAGAATCATGTTCATGTAAAAATGCTGGTGTTTAGATTAATTGTAAGCAAATAGTTCTCGCTTAAAGCATAAAGTTTGTATCGAGTGATAACCACAAGGCCTTTTAGTTCGCTATTATGTCAGATAGATAAGTGAATATCAAAAGTATGTTTCTGTTATAGACAATTTTGTTTAAGAACCGCTATTACTTTAGGAGTAAAGTGTTTCAATTATAACTTTTAGGTTTTCTCACTTTGCCTTCATCTTAAAAAAATGGTGAAATTTTCTGAAGTCAGCCTTGTTCTTCAATTTGTCTGGAGCCCTAATTCCAGCAGTAATGAAGAGCAGTGCTTAATTTTTTTTGGGACCATTACCAGCCTATTGCAGAACTGACATACTAATACAAAGCAATAAGTCACTAGTTTTGTTAGTTTACAGTGCCAAAAGTAGTATAACTTCGCTGAAGTTTCTGCTACAATCATCAAAACTTACACTTAGGTAACATGACCTTTTGGCCTCTTTTTAAAATCGTTTAAATTTATGGAACTCTATTTTCTTTGGAAGAAATTACTTTATGAGTTCACTTTATTACGACATGCATTCAACGGAGTCGTCCAGATATATTTACATTTTACAAGTACCATTTCCTTTTCTCAAAAAGTTTACTCACATAAGTCTGCATCTACAATTTAAACTTGATCATGATTAAAAAACTTGCTTGTGTTACTCAATTGGGAATATTTTATTCTCTATCAACCTCACACACTTTTGGGAGTGCATGTTGGGATTTTTTTAAGTTTAGGTGCCGTGTATGTAGATATTTTTATCCCTAAGAATCATAAGTAATCACTGTAAACTAAAATTTAAAAGTTCACTCTTCAGTTTAAAAATTCAAAGCATTGAATCTTTTGAAATCTTTGAACTTCTGATTATATTTATTTTTTCCAAGAAGCATTTGTACATGTATAGATATTTAACCAATATTTAACCATAATCATTACGTTTAATCGAATCTTTTTCCATTAATTCTCTTGACAAAGCTCCAAACAACAAAAGTGATTATGTTCAGTAAGCAATTATCCAAGGAAGTGCTGTATTGCTTTCAAGTTTTGTTCGCTAGTCGCTACCTTAGAGTGCTAGCACCAACCATGTTGCAATACATATTTGGCAGTGATTATTTGCAGTCCCAGTGAAGTAACACTCTGGCCCTACCTACATGTAATTGTATCGCTGCTGTACTATAAAGAAGAAAGGGTATATATGGGTATGTTATTGCATTCAATAGGGGACGTTGAACAATAGAAGACAATAGGGTCCACATTTCCCGAAGGTCCACTATTGACCATCGTGTACAAAATATATGGGAGGTCTTCCTAAAAAGTTGAAGGTGTTTACACACTTGGGTTTGTTATCCATGGGTATAGTAAAACACATGCGTGTGTATGTTCCTACAAGCATAACATTCACTGTGTGGACTTCCGAACAAAAGATATCCATATAAACCAGGTAGCAGCAACGTTGTGTGGACTTGCACACGTCCACACAAGGTTTCCCCTCTCTGGAAAACAGGTTTAGAGGCATTTTGGGGTTAGGTTTATCCGTTACAAAATGAAGAGAAACACTCAAGGGAGTCATAGAAAGAAAAGAAAATGGGTTGAAAGTGTTTCCATAGTGTGAGTAAAATGAGTTTTTCAGAGGTTTTGCTTAACTACACGAAAACAAAGGAATGTCCACACTAGGTATGTAATATAAACATGGGTGTGTGTTCATGAGTTGTTTACCAGTTGTGAAGCTGCTCTCGACAGCAAAGCGGTCGACAGGCAGCAAAGCCTCTAGACTGCTTATCTGGCGATGAAGCTGCCTCTTGCCCACGAAGCAGGCAATGGGCGGCGAAGCCACCTCCACCCGCGTAGCGGGCGAGGTTAAGCCGCGCTTAAACTATTTTGCAGAATCTACACTGCTGTGTGGATTGCATATGAAAAGCTTCCAGTTTCATTTTTTAGAGACTTCACTTTTTGCACACCCAAACAGAGATGTGCCGCTGTACAAACAGTTGACCTCCAAATCGCACATGCTTTGAAGACGCATTGACTGGTATATCCTTGCCAGAGGAGGTGTCTACAGATGTGTAACCAGGGATTACCCATTGTGGGATTAAATATGGATTAACGCAGCGCGTTTTCTATAACGTGAACCCATGCTCTCTAAAGCCTAGTCAATAATATGGTTTCCCTGCCTGCGAGAATTATTGTGCACAAGCTCTCCAGTGATGTTGAAATTTCATAGAGCTGTGCTCAGCAGAAAATATTTCTCAGCAAATTTATGTATTAAGCAAAAAAGCAAATGAGAACCAGTAATGATCAGTGTACAACTATACATTGAGACTGGTAACTGGTTATTGCTAAATCAATAGTTTGTTTTAGCTTAGCATGTTTTATGGGAAAGAATGTTGCGCCCTGACGCTGCTTTTTTCACCACATTATCTCAATGAAGGTCAGTCATCACAAAAATTTGGAAAAGACATGAATCTGGGACAGAGAAACATTTCCAATTTTGTTAAAAGACTACTTTAAAAATGCATGCAACTCTCCATAGACTTTATACACAACCTAAGATGTGGCGTCTGGATACTACATTATTTCCGTTTTGTGCTCAGAACTCCTTGATATTGGCCCAGGTATATGTGCAGTTACAAGAATTGTTGGTAATTTCAATTTCATCATACAGCCTTGAGTATTGTGATTTGTGTAACATTAGATTGTCTTCACATAGTTAAACAAGTATGAAATTCTAGAGAGTGCGGGTTTTTCATGGGGTGGTGTTCCTGACAAAATTCTCAGGAAATGTATCAAAGTGGCCATACAAATCGCATTTCCGTAAAGCAGGAGTCGGAGTGTGTTTGACATACAAACATGTACACTCATTTATCTACTCGTGAAATTTGAGATTTAAAACACATCTTGTAGCACCAGAACAAAGAATGCATCAAGTAAATAGACCATCTAGTTGTTTATTTGATTTTAAGAATGAAGTCCAATTTATGCATGTGGGATTTTCAACTTGAGACCAAATTTGCCAAAGTAGGGTTCAAATAATTTTGAAATAGTTACATCACATTTTTCCAAAACATTAGAAAAGCAGGTGATCACATTTTTTAGTGGTCGTTTCCAATTAATTGGAATCAGGGATTTTTTTTCCATATCGCTCTTAAAATTGTTAACATTTTTAAATGTCAAAAATGGCTCTACAGTCATTGAGGGTAGTAACATTGACAGAAATAGTAACAGAAGTTATTGTTAATCTTAAAAAAATTGTCTGAAATAGGATTAAGAACAAAAACGATGAAAATGTTTAGAGATATGTAATTGATATGATTTGTAAATTTTGCATTTGTAATGTCTAATTTTTTGGTTCCTACCTAAGATTTTCCATTTTTGGGATCTTCAAAAGATTTTTTGGTTTATTTTGTGGTAAAATTAGGTATATATCAACAAATGTGGTTAAAATTGATTGGTATATATAAAATAAAATCACCTTTCTATGCAGGTTGCATTGTTACTTCAGACATATATTTTTATCCAAAACTTCCTTTTGGTAAACTTGAAGAAATAATCAACGATTTCTCAATCAGAGTTTGTGATACAATTATTTGAAACTTTTTGACCAAAAGAAATCTGTTTATCGCATTACTCGCATCACACCATGAAATATTTTTTACCCATTAGTAGTTTTATACTAGTTCATTCAGGTTTTGACAAGAGAATGGCAATATTTCAGTACATAATCTAAAAACGGTGACAGATTACAAACAACACATCAATAATGTTGTTCAGAAAGGGCAGGTGAGCTAAATGTTCCACTTTCTAACCACAAAGTGAAGAGCTACACGAACAATAACCTACCTCAAAAATACTTTTTCCAAAATGCATTTTCCATTCCTATAGAGATTATCCAAGTTTTAGTCAGTCCAGATTGCTGTGTGTATAAATTTACAACTTACACAAATAATGCATTGTCCCATGTAACAATACAAAATAATTGATCCTGGTTTTTTTATGCACCAGTGCATAAACTGGGTTGATACATGGACAAAATGTATTACTACAATGCAGTGAGAAAGCTCCCTTGTACATATTTACTTTGATTATTTCTCAATAAATGTAATAGGATTCAGGCCTTAGTCTGTTGCATCATGTTGTGGATAATAATTACAGTAGTCAGTGGTATTGTTAAGATTGTGAGGGTATAATCCCTCGAGTACAAGATATAAGCGGGCTGTATGTTAAGATGGTTGCTTTAGTACATATTGAAGATATTTTGTTCAATTTTGGATACTGTATGCACATTAGTTTAGAACAGTGTCTGCCGTTGCTATAACAGAAAGGTGGACACAGTGATAGAAGCGATTGGTGTTTGAATTTGTTGTAAGATTTTCAAAGACATACTTTCAATGGCTCTAATTGCCTGGTGATAGTTTTTCTAGTTTTACAATTCTATGTGAAATAGGCTTGGGCGATTCCACGCTGGAATTAAGTAAAAGATTCCAAATTCAGAAACTATGTTCTGGAGGAAGAATCTCCCTAAATTAGCCAATTCAGTTTCCAAGATTTTACTTTTGGAGTGGAGGAAGACACTTCAAAACAAATTTAAGGGGAAATTGTTAGGTTTTTGAAAGAAGTTCATATTGACTTTTCTTCATAAGCATTACTGCACTACTACAGTCCAAAGTGATATCATGTAGGGTAAATTTTCCTATGCTTCTTTGTTGAATAAAGTTAGATTGAGTAAATGATGGAATTGATTCCAAAATTGGACTCGCCCAAGCCTAATATGAAATATCCAACTACATGTGATCCACTACCCCCAAAACAAGCATGAAATACATGTAGTACATTTTTAGTAGCTAAACCTCATGTCCATGACAATCTTTTTTATTCTTCACATTAAAATAAAAGCAAGTTTTTGCACAGAACAGCTGTGTCAATTGTGGCTAATGGGATTGTTGAAAAACACTTTTTGTTTTGAAAACATGTTCTGGCGACTTCAGCCTTGTAGTTTTGGGGCAGTGGGTCACATCTTTCGCTTGGAGGATTATTAATTTGGGAAAAATTTAATTGATCAATAATATAATACCAACAAAATCTTTCAATATAGTTTTCTACAGCAGTTTTGTAATACTGTATGTTCTTTGAACTTTGAAATGGTGAGCCTTGGTCTAGCTGCATTATAATCAAATAATAAATACTGACTTTGTCTTATCTAAATACATGTACAAGACTGGTCTTTGTTTTTGTGTAGTCTTTTGCCCACTGAAGACAATGCTCAAGGCAGTATTCTTTGCAGCAAGAACACAATTGGGATGGAGATATTCACACCCTTGAATTTAAATCTTATTGTAAAGATGTCTTCGAAGAGATTCGGTTATATGTTAACTGCATGCTCATAAAGACACGAAACACTCTTAACCATTTTTTAGCAGCTACTGTTCAAAATGTCCATTTTATCATTTGCAAAATATGCAATGTCCCGTGGTTGTGGTACATTCTCACTGGGATTGATGAAGTCAAGTTTGAGTTGTCAAGATTGACTTGTATAGTGTCATCCATGCTTAAAATTATTACATCATTCGCCTACCTAGTTGCACGCTTGGACCTCCCCACGTACCCCCTCCCACGCACCCCCCCCCCCCAACCCCCCCCCCCCCGCAAATAGTTTTGACCAAAAATAAGTCTAAATGCTTTTTGAACAATCTGCAACATTGGAATCTGCAAGTACATGTATGCAGCAGATTTTAATATATTCTGTGTACTTGAAGATGACATTCTGACTAATAGATCAAATGAAATACCAATTTAGGAAAAAAACTGTCATATCCCATAATACTGAAGATATTTTCCCTCAAATTTGAACACTGCATTGAAAGTTCCGTGCACAACACAGTATCTTTAGAAGTGTCTCTATGAATACTGTACCACACAGAGATGTCTTAAAAGTTGGACGAAAGCTTCATCAATTATTCACTCCGATGACGACGGGAATTCCTCCGACCAACTTGGGAGACAAGCGATCGATACCGCGTCATGGCGACGGGGCTCAAAGGAGGAGTCTCCCGCGTACCTCCGTCACAAAACACGGTAAAGTCCTGCTTGTTTATCCGGTGTTTGGGACTCCGGTACCGTGACCATGTACATGTACCATAACACACAGAAAAACATGTTTTGGTCATGTTTTGTAGCGACGACAAATCGGTGCTTTGATCACTGTCTTCCGAGGTGAAAAATCAAATCAAAATATTTCCGAGAAGAAATGCATTTTACAAAGGTGTTTTGATTGTGTTTTATTTCTCGGTCTGAAAGCGAAATAAAGTTCGTCGTTGATGTCAGGAAAACAAAATGGCGCAGACGATTCCGTCATTAAGAATCTTGATGTCATCTTCTGTACAATTAGTTTCGCAGACAAGACATATTTCTGTCCACAAACTTTGAATAAATGTCCTATAGCCGACCTCCAAACCTCAAGTTCAGAAAACATATGGGGAAAAAAAGAGGCAATCTTTGCAGATACAACTTTTTCACGTGACTCATTGTTAATTCCACATTTTTCAGACATCGTGTATTGGTAACTTAAAATATAATAATTAAAAAAAACTTTTTTTGAACAGCATTAGGCCTACGTAAAGAATGTGGATTTTTTTAAAAGGAAGTTGTGGGACACAAATAAATATCTTGAAATAATTATGACACTTGACACTGAAAGAATCAATCAGAATCAGGATTTCAAACTCTCTTATCAACTAACCAATCACATTCATTCTCTCATGCCTGGTCATCTGGTAACTTCCAAAGAATTTTAATTAATATTTTTCTTTGATTTTTATTTGCATTATTACATTCACTATGTTCTGTGCATTTAATTGATCATTGATTAATTTCGGAAAATACTGCTGGAAAAAAATTAACTTGACTGGTTTAAAGCTCATTATGTTTGTGCATAATTGCATTGTTTTTCGTCGTACCCAGAATGCAATGCGAACGTAAAAACAAAAATTATTTAGTCGCTCTTCACACTACGAAAAGTGTCCAAAATTTCATAGGGCAAGAGGCAACGATAAAATCGTTCACCAATCAAGATTGAGTTAGTTTAGTATCTCAGTTCATATTTGGAAACCATTTTTAAGGGCATTCAAAGCAGACGACTTCAACCCATGCGGTAGTCTGGTGGCATGACTATACGGATAACATAGGCATATAGAAATTGAGATTGGTACCAGACGTACAAAATTCGTACAAAATTCGTATAGTACAAAATTCGTCCGGCGCTAGTCTGTTCTCCATCTCGTCCATTTCATGTCATAAACGCCTTAACGTCTTGGCCTCCCAATACATGATTCGAATTTCTGGACTTTCGTACAAATTCCAGGACTGGAGTTTTACCAATTTCTTCTTTGGTGTAGAGCAGCAAGGCTAGTACTTCAACGAACTGTAGATGTCGCGTGCCCTGGGGCCGTCACATTCAGGTAGGCTATACTTGTTTACATACTTGTACTCGGGCCGGGATTTATTTTCACAAGACTTTGTAAATGCTGAATTGGTACTTCAGTGCCATTATTAGTTTGTTCACAAGCTTTGCAACTCGTTCTATTATGTAGATAAGAGACAAATTGCAGATTAGAGTTTACTTAGGGGTCAACCCCTTTCCCCTTAAACAGTACTTAAAATAATGCTTGTTCTGCTGCTATCCGTTAGGCCCCAATCCCCATTTGGATGTTTTCATCCACGAAGCTAGAATACCATTTTCATTAATACAATGTACACGTAGACTATAAATTATGCTGCGAATTGTATAGAGCAGCTAAATGGGCCTTATTCATGAGTTGGCCATTTTTGTCGAGTTCCCTGAATGTATTTCATTAATTGTTGACTGTTGAATGGAATGGCGCCAGACTATTTATGCAGGCAAAATGCAGCTATTTTACTGTCATTTTTGTAATCTGGCTTTAAAGGGAATATACATCATTTGCTTTTGCTGTAATTTTAAGAAATGGATGGAATTGGGGGGTTGGAAATATATAGCAAATATAGTTACACTGACTTTTTTGAGGTTTTGGGTTCGAAAATGCTATAAAAACCAAGAAAAACAATCATTTTCCTGTAGTCTGGTTCCCTGACTCCATATAAGAAGAAACAGAGCAGTTTACATACATTGGGGAATTGTAAGGTCAGGGAACCAGTCTAGCTTGCTTGTACCCGTTCATAGTGTGTAATCGATTGCAACAAGTGCGAAGGTCAATTGGGGCCAGTATTTGAGGGGAAAAAAGCCAGTTTTTTCCAACGCTGATCGGCCGACCAGCATTGGAAATTGATACAAAAATACCACTTTTCTTGAAAATGACAGTATACCAGGTGCCATGATTTTACAGGATGCTTTACACTGTCATTCACTAACAGTCCAGCAAGGTATTTCAAAATAATTTGGTAGTTTTATTTTTTGATGTTTGCAAATGTTGTATTTTCCCTACATTAGGGAACATTTAATTACAAATTTGAAACTATTCATTTGAAGCAGACTGGAATTAATTAGTAATTAACTTGTCTTGATTTCTCTACACAAGTTCCACAAATCAAGATTTTATCTCACTCGCAATCCAATATAGCCCATTGCCGTTTACATACTGATTTTGAGTGGGTCACGGCCCAGTGGTGCAAATCTGTGTCGACCAGTGGGCCATGTGCACGTGGGGGATATTAACAGGGATGACAAAAAAATCATAAAATTTGAACCGGCTGTGGAAATTCGAAGGGGGGGGGGGGCGCTGGACAGCACATTACATCAGGGGCGTTACATCATGGTATGCAAACTTGCGCTAAAATTACGTTACAGTTTGTGAGGAGAAGTTCTCCGATTTTCAGAAAGTTATGTAATACAGTTGGGTTGTTGGAAATGTTATGAAGCTATCTGAACCGGCCCACATTTTTGTCCTTTGGCTAATTTGCTACGAGCTTCGCATAATGGAGTTCTTAAAATACTTTGTTATATAACTCTTATTACTCGTGTGTTATAAAAGGGCTGGGCTCCGGGCACGCGGTATCTGTGTCCCTCAACGTGCCGTCGGGTTGCTTGGGCCCACGAAGCTGTATTCGAACAAGTTGTTAAATTGTTTGAGTTGTTTTAATTAAAGATAGTTGGTTATGTTCTGCAAACCTGTCTTCAACTGTCTATCTGTTCGTGGTGTCGATCCCCTATGGGGTGTGGCGGCCATGCCATACCGCGCTGCCACACGGCCATAACAGAAAGATAACTTCTAAATCGGCATGTTTATGTTTCTCACCACAACAATTGGGAGAACCTGGGGGACGAACCAATGACCAGACCCATTCCCCCTTTGGTAAAAAAGTGTGGGGATATATCATCCCCTTCCCCCATCCCCGGCACCGTATACGCCCATGAGTAGGTGCATCGGCCATTGACAAGCTTGAATTAATTCAATCAAACAGAAATCAAAATTTAGAGTTTTGTAAGTAATTGTGTCGGACCCCAGCTTGCACCCCCTAATTTGGAATTCATTTTGGCCTACACCTCTGCACATGCTTGAAAAGGAATCTATTGTGACTTTTTGAGACGGTCTTAGTTCTGATTTGTGGGCACAGCGGTCTCATTTGTAATTTGCACTCGAAGATTGAATGTTAGGCATATTATATACAAACCGTAATTCAGGCTAACATTTCGTCAAATGATTACCTGCGCATATGCCTATATGAATACTATAACATAGAAGATGTTATTAGGCGACACAATTTCGCACAGTTATCATGTTGTATGGCCACATATAGGTTACTATAACCACGTGTATCTTCATCAAATGCTCAAGGCTTTGCAATAGAAAGAATACTTAAATCCCCTTTATTCGCCTAATAAGCACCTGATAAGCCGTCTTACCGGCCGCTGGGGCTTCTTCGCTCTATCAAGGGTGGTGTGTCCTCACTCACTCTGGAATTAAACTCCGTAAAAAGCAACTTGTAATCCCTCGCTCCCCCACCAATGTTTAGGAATTATCTACGTTGGTAACGGTTAACCGCTACACATTCCAGGGAGAAATCCTCTTAAATGACACAATAAATGTCCCACCGGCCTTCGAAGTTTGCCCATTTGCTTGTGTTAGAACAGTTCCCATTTCAACACGGTGTTTAATAAAGCTATACCAAGCCTTCCCACAAGATGGTCATTACTCATTGCGTGTGACGACATCACTCGCTGGCCATAACGCTCTATACACTTAATACAGTATTTAACGGGGATAAATATTTTTAACACAATACTTTTTATATAATGCAGGTCCATATTTGGTAAGGGTCGATTTCACTTGGTATAGGAACATCAGATGGTTGGCGATTCTGTCATGAAACCATACAGAACGATGTCTGAACATAGTATACTTTGTAAATTTGATTATTAAAGCCATTTTATTTCCAATGTATATTGACGTTGTATGTACTTTTCGTGTGGACGTTAACGCCCCGGACATAAAGTCCACACGAAAAGTACATACAACGTCAAAATACTTTGGAAATAGTAAATAAAATGGCTTTTTATAACAATGTACACCAAAGTGAAGCACGTCTTAATCTGATAACGCGTACTATTTAAACATTCATTTATGGTAATCATATGCGAACGCAATACCATTGATGTCCAAAACATTCTTTGTGGAAACTTTATGGCAACCCAAAAAATCATTAAATTGTTGCCAGGAGGAGAAAAATAGGGAAATGCTGTACCACCATAGATATATCGAGCGGTATGGTAGCTTTTGTGAGTTCGCCGGGCAACGTGGGTACATTGGGCGTCGTTGCCACCAACACGTAAGGGATTTAAGGTGGCTTCGCGCCGCACCTGCGTCACTTGCAAAGTTTGCCGCCACAAGAGACACACGTTCACGGAACAGTGCTCAGAAGTCAGTGAATTATTTTACCCACTCTCGGAATATATCCAGTCAGAAGCAAGCTAATACAGGTAAGTTTGATGAAACTGTTGATAACCTTTGTATTTTTTGGGCAATCTTGAATCGACAATTTCTTTTTAGTTGCGTCATTTTATGGCTACTTTGAAAGACTGGAGTTAGGCCTACACTTTGTGATAAAGGGTGCTGTATCTAGCATTAAAAAAAAAAATCTTATCCCAAATTTGGAAGAAACTGGTCGTTTCTTTCATATGTTTGTAGCAGTGTTATCATTCAACGTTGTATCTAAAATTAAATTAGTTGGTTTGCTCGATGTATGATTAACTTAAGCCTACTTTTCATTATATGAAACACGAATCACCTTTGAGAAAGTCGGCAGCTTGGTAGTATTAATATCACTGGTCACCGTTTGTTTTCTTTATTAGATTACAGTTAATACGCTCACGTTTGAAAAGTTCAGATTTTATTTCGTAATTTTAACTACATGTAGTACTTGTTGCTAAATATGTGTTATTGTTCTATCCAAATGGCACGTTCGGCTCAACGTAGTAATATGTTGCATATTACACCATAATCACTTGTTTTAGTCAAGGATTGAAAGTTCTGGTGAAGCAATGATCTCATCAGAATAAGCCTAAATTGTATTAAGCATCCCATGAGAGAAATTCTATCACTTTCGTCAAATCAGCCGAACGGTCGCGATCAAAAGAAATTGTACAACATGGGAGAGGGAAATGTTGATCAAACATTTGTCACCTTGGCAACAGTGGCGCAATAGGACACAAAAGACTTCCTTGGTTACCATTGTCCATCTTCCGCGGATACATTAGCGATAATTATTATCGCTTGCTAATTGCCGACAGTAGTCCTAATTGCATTTTTTTCGCCCAAGTGCCAGTCAATGATCTCTTGCGCAAACGAAGTCTTCGTTTCAATTTTTGACGACACCGGTCATAGACTTTACAATGGTTTTATAATTTTATCTTTCAGAAATCACCAGATCCTCAACAGCAAGAACAGGAATTTTAAACCTACCTCGAGATGGCTCTTCTGAAATTTGCCGTTGTTTTCTTGGCCGGCTTCATCCAACTATGTGGTAAGTTAACAATACAAACCACTTAAGAAAATGATCTCTTTTGATTCCAATTGAGCCTTCCGTCTAGTTTAGATAGATAATTATTTTATGTTGAAAGACATTAAATGGAACCACAAATTGTTAGGCAAACAGAAAATGTATTGTTCAGTCTTGTCGAGCATGTTGCTTGGATCTTTTTAAAGTAAACATTTCTCTTTTAATCACCAGCATATACGATTCATTTTGATTCCAACTATTTTTTTAAAATGTTGTGAAAGCAAAAACCGATCTTTTCGGAAGATAAGCCTGTTGGCTATTGATTGTTCAATTTTCTGACCGAAAATGTACCTTTTTGATCACCAGCTTCCCAGTCAGTGGACGTTGAAGTCACGGTGTCCAGCCCAGACGATATCGTCGACGGAGAGAGCACCGATGTTTCCTTCAGCATCGACTTCACCCCGTTCAGCGGGGCAGCCTCCGTCATCAACGGCGTCTCCTCCGGCACCCGCTACACCGTGATCGCCGGCATGTTCACCTCAGACGCCGCCGACGTGGCAAGCTCCATCGGCGGCACCGAGGTCACCCTGACCAGCGCCCAGGCCTCCACCTCGCTAACAGACGGAACGGCAACCACTTTCAGCTCGCTGACGGCCAGTTTGGACCTCACCAGCGAGGAGTGCGGCAACGACGGATCCGACTATACCTACTTCTGCGTCATCGTCTCGCCTGATTCGAGCGGAGCTGGCTGGTCTGGTGTCGACACTTCCAACAACACCGACTGCGCAGCTCTTGTGTGCAAAGGTGAGAATCCAAAACCAAACCTCTCCATTAAATTTTTGGCTGGATCCATATGGGATAGTTTACAGTCATCAGACTAAAGTCACTGAGGTTAAACATGTCCCCAGTTGTCTAAAACTTAAAATAAACTACTTTTTCTTGCTGACCAGCTGTAAAACTCAAGCCTAGTCTTGATGTTATACAACTAAATGCATCACCTTATCCAGTCCAAACCTGATTTCATACTTTGCGATTTGATAGTGCAATCAACTTACCACTTTTGATGTCAGACTGATAATACTAATTGTGATGTCAAAATGATTTAAATGATTATATTTTTGCTTCAACAATTGTGAACATTGAGATTCATTTTTGGTTTATTTTTCCTTCTATCCTTGTGTAGCTGTGGTGGATCTGAGTGCAGACACCCTCACCATCACCAACCCCGACGATGGAGTGATCGGAGTCGGTGCTGGCCAGGCCATCGAGTTCGAGGTTGACCTCTCAGCCCCGGCTTCCTCCGACTCCGTCAGCGGCGTCAGCAACTGGGCCATGTCCATGTGGCTGTCCGACGCGGCCTCCGGCGGCACCGTGGTGGCTCTGACCAGCGTCTCCTTAACCTCCGCTCAGCTGACGATCGACGTGACCAACGGCAGCTCGGCCGATATCGACGACCTGGCTGTCACCCTTGACCTGACTGACATCACCTGCGACGAGTTCAGCTACAGCTGCGTCTCCGTCGAGCCGGCCAGCGGTGCCGCCTGGAAGATCCAAACCACGGACGCCAGCAACAGCAACACCGTCTGCACGGCCGTTACCTGCGGCGCCACTATCGCTCAGATCAGCATGGTCTTCCTCGGTCTCTGCTTCCTCCTGACATCACTCCTCATGAATCAGTCGTAGACTTCGTACAACATCTTTAATTAGACATTTATCCCAACCAGAGACAGAGATGGCCGAATAAGTTCCTAACTAGTGTTTTATTTACGCGTCATTTGCAGGGACAACGTAACTGGAACACGAGATCGACAAAGGCCGAAATTTGCCTTAAGTCGAACGACAGTGATTATCTTCCATACATTCCTACCGTTATTTTGCAACCAACAGCTAGTGAATAAAACACCCTACATTGCAAATAAGTGGTAAATTTGATTAATCAATTCTACAGCTTCAGTACGAAAAGGATTCAATCCAGTGTTGCTGTCAAACACAAATTTGATGTTCATTTCAGAAGTACCTCATATGCTAACAAATTATAAAATGACGTTTAACAGTTTGGATTCAATCCTTCTCGCACAAGAGGTGCAGCTGTAAAAGGAGAAAGTTGAATTTGTAAATATGTCATATTTTGTAAAATATTTTAAAGATAATTGTAATAAATATTAAGAATGAAGTTGATATATCGAATAAACATTCTGTTTCAGTATATCGAATTGCAAATAATCGTTGTTCGATTATTTTAAGTTAATGCCATGTTCTGAAGGTTCACTATAAGTCATTGGAGCCTTTCGTTTACAGTCGTCTTTAGAAAGGCAATGACCAACTGATGTTAACTTCGTCCAGCAAGTATTAAACCATCCTAAGTTGTAAGCAGTTTCAAGTAAAAAAGTTTGTGAAGGTATAGGATAACGGCGCGCCATGGTTCACACATTTCTTTCCTTTATTTTCAACAAATAAAGGAACTAAATATGTTAACTGTTCACATCCAAAACTTCTCAAACTTTTTGTTGAAAAAATGCTGCCGTACTTTGAGGTTCTGTTAGAATATGCGATGTCTTCTTAGCGACTGTGAATTATGCCATTTTTAGCATGCAATCAGATTTGAGTATTGTCAGCTTAATTATTCAAAGTTCTATTTTAAACAAAGGTTAAAAAGGAACAATATTATAAGCTGTTTTTTATTGTAAAAAAATCTATCGGCTTGACGTCAACCACAATGTTTTTTCCTTGTCCAACACATTTTTGTTTGTTTCTGTAATGTCTGTCTTTTGATTGCTGAAATCAGGGTGCGCACCATAAAATGTTTTGTGTATGTTATTGAAAGAGTGATGAAATAAAGTTACACCTTCAAGTTAAAAGTTGTGTGTTTTGTTGACTATTCTTTGCAAATTCTACTTTGCTTAAAGTTATGTGGTCAAACATCATGGGCGAAATGCGAATTCCTTAGTATGTTTTCAAAGCATTATTTGAACTCAGATATGGCACTTTCAAGCTGCAGAGTGACTCCGTCTTTATTTGCAGTGATGGATCATATTTAATTTTCAGTTATGTTAATTTCCAATTTCTGCAAGTTTAGTTTGGAATGCGAACATCATCATTCTGCATATACATAAAATATGGTTTTTACTACCAGTCCAATAGTTCTGTGAGCCCCTGCTTTCATGTTTATTTGTGTTTTGTGGGCCAATACGTTTCTGCTTTTTTCTTACTGAAACAAAATTCCAGAATGTTCGGCTTAAATGATTTACTAAGAGATACCGGTAGTAAAGATGTATTCAATTTGCCTTGCATAACAAACATAGATTTCTCCAAACCCTTACGTCTTGTATTGATTCGTAGATCATTCTTCCAGTGAGAGAAACAAACAGTATGTGCCGTCTCCAAGGGTACGAACAAGGGACGATCTTGCCTCGAAAGTCCAGCATCATAAATAATTAATCTGATTGCCATCTCGAAGATGAGCAAAACTGTTGTCTAACTTTCCATGGCTACCGATATTGATCCATATACTAGACCGTGTACTAGTGTGTTTGTTGAGCGAGTTGTGTGGGTGATTGTGTGAATCTTGTGTTCTCGTATTGATCCCCCTGAGGGGAGAAAAGACTTGAAAATCGGTGGAAGATTATCCCTTGGTGCTCCATGGCAACTAACTACAAAGGAGTACCTCAACAAGTTTCAGGTTTTCCTCTCTGTGTAGGCCTACAACAGTTGCACGGCACAAGCTTGCCTTATTGTCATGAAATTCGAGGAAATCCAAGTCGTGCCCCCAGATCGAATATTGCTCATTTATGAAATGCAATGACTTTCTGTGTCTGCGCCGAGTGAACCCAGCAAAGTTCGCGTAATCTTGTATACCAGGGCAGCAACTCTCAATGACAATTACTCAACGTGGTGTAAATTACTGGAACAGTCCTAGTAAATCTTTGAAAAAAATCACCATCACAGACTATATTTGTCCAAAAACTGAAGAAAAAACTTCTTGATGCATATTTATAACTTCAATGTTTTATTTATTTCGTATTGTTATGTCTTAGTATGTACCTGCATTCTGTTGTCCTTTGTCCTGTCTGTGCCGTTGTCTGTCCCTTGGTTAGGGTACAAAAGCATTTTTGCTTCACCCAAACCCAAACGCTGTCCTTTGTGTAATAATTTGATATTAACTTAACCTGTAATATTGTATTTCAACTTACATGTATTGTGAACACTGTACATTTCTAAGGACAGCATTGAAATAAATGTACTATACTACTACAATTGCGATAATTCTTGAACAAATCTAGTTTCTAAAGATATGCACTCATGCCATTTATCTTACGAGAAAATCATATGCGTCTATACTCTATAGATGACACCGGCAAGGCAAACGTAAACATATTACAGATCTACGGACAACTCATTGCTACAGAATTTACCAATTTTGGGGCGTAAGTGCCGATATGTGTGCGGTGTCTTCAGTAGGTTTGATTATTCATGTAAATCAATATTAGGTTTTTGCCCTTTCGCGTGTTTCGATATTTTTTTCACAACATTCGGACGCCATTCTCACGTACGAATTTCGAAAATTGGGTGATGTCCCCATGCACCGTGCATAGAGCAAAATAATGAAGATAGTTACAAAACATTGGAATAGGCATTGTGTTAAAACTCATGAACGTAGCCTACTGCATATTTGGTGAAAAGTGAGGAACAACCAATGGGCCTATGTAATAAGGGTGCGATGGATAGGTTGGCAGTGAAAATGTTCGTTTTATGATTGATGACAAATTCCTTGCTGATTGCAAATTGTATTGAAGAAAACTGTCTTTTTACGGAAACAAAGGAAGCTTACACTCTGTACTCTATAATTTGTCATTACCTTTAAGGTCGAGTTTCTCGCGATTCGTTAATGGAAAGCTTGGAATTTAGATAGTGCTACAAATTACAAAATACAATGTAGATGTTGCACACCTAAAGGCACAGACACCATTGTTGTAAAAATATACCCACAAAACCCTGTATTCTTATTCAATCTTAGGCTCCTAACGTTTGACGACGAAAAGGAAAGCATCAAAATAAATGACTAATACGACCTCGCTGGCAAGGATTGTACTTTTGTGTAATGAGGGCGAGCTGTGCTGGAGATTGTAGATGTTAACAAGGCGGACACTTCTAACTCCATTTCAGACTCACAATCAGTGGACGGGTATGCCGGATTAGGGCAGGCGAATAGGATTAAAGGTTTTGCAGTCCTCGAAGCTTTACATCGCAGTTGCAGCGTGTAGTGTATTGTGCTAGCCGTATAGATGCCGATTATGGGGCAGAAATTTGTAGGGCTTCGTCGTGATCGACGAAGCCGAGTAACTGTTATCCCAACGCAGGGTTCATGATCCGTGGACTATGGTCCATTGACATAGATCCATTGACAGTTTCGCTCGTCACCCTAAGGGCGCGAGGAAACAGTCAACATTGCACGGGTGTAGCTGAGCTACAGCAGCTAGTCATGGTGCAAGTACGAACATTTTAAAGCTCTGGCAGGAGCTTCTATGTCACTTGGTGGTCGGTCGGTTGGTCGGTCGGTCAGTCTGTCTGTCCCCGAAAATTTACCAAAAATAATTTACTAATTGACCAAATGCCATGCCGTGGTCATTAACTGCACTCCTGCTCAGTGACGGTTTTCGAAACAGCGATTTTGTTTCGATCGATGCGCATGCGCGTTTATTTTGCATATGTCTGTCCCCAAAAATAGACCAAAATAAGCCCCATAAGTTTCCTACACAAATATAAATACCAAATTTAAATTTTCACAAAAAGCAAACAAAATAAATTAAATACTTAACAAAAACTGTTTGTAAAAATTCGGAAAGATCTTTATGACAAGTTTGTAAATGGAGGCAAAGTATCATGTGCAGTAATTTTATAGTCACATGGTATTTATCACAAATACCAATTGAAGACCTTCCGTACATCATGAATTAAAGACCTTCCCGTACATCATGTTGTGAACCGGTAGATGACGATGATGATAAATATAGGTATACATCTAAAGTATGGTGCTCCATTAAGTGCCATCGGCGTCGCATTTAGCCAGGGCGATGGTAAACGAGCCGAAGAACGAATCTCTTTTGAGTGCATGGTACGAGGATGAAGGGTCTCGGAAGAGCCGGTCAGTAAACATTTGACGTTTCTATCAGCATAGACTGGTCGTCTTCATGTGTATATATAAACTGATCGAAATTTCAAGTGTTTACCCACTTGTGCTTTTCATAACCATGGCTAAGGAGGTATCCCTATGTGGAGGTATCCCTATGAGTGTGGGTGCTACCGTAAACCAGTTTCCTTTTTACCACCACAAGATAATCCTTCACCGTATAGCCTACATCATGGAGGAATGTGTTCTTATTCCTCCATGCCTACATGTAGACCTTCATTATGTAAACTCTGATGTGGTTCTTCGAACAGTCTTTTGCCCTATGCAGGTCATTGTAGGATGATTGTCTAATCACACGCAAAGAAGTAGTATTTATTGGAATAGAGGGGGATATAATTCCATGTTTACCTCCGCCAAGGAGGTTATGTTTTCATCAGCGTGGGTTCATTTGTCTGTTGGTTGGTTCGTTTGTCTGTGAACAAGATAACTAAAAAAAAGTTATGGGCAGATTTTCATGAAATATTTTTTAGGGGTGTTCCTTGGTACAAGTACAAATCGATTAGATTTTGGAAGTGATCCGGATCTGGGTCTGGATGCAGAACTGTTTTAAAGATTTTTCACCATTTTGTATATGTTATTTAAAACTGAGCAGCTTCGTGTGCGTGCACTGACCCAGTGACCCTGTATCTAGCCACACAGGTCAATGGACTAGACTATTTTATACAATGGGGGAGTGGAGACGTTGCCCGTAGACCGACACAGGCATATACATGTAGACTGCAATATGTTTGAGTTTTTCCTTAAGTTCGTTTTCATTATCTCGTGCATTTTTTCCTTTCATCTTGCAGCTTGGTTTAAAATATGACTTGCGGGGAGCAGTGGTGTAGTTGTGTTTTGTTTGTGTGTCCGATCGTGTCTGTCTTTTGTTCTTGTGATTAAGTTTGTTCAGGCTGTTCCACCTACAAGCCTTTGCTTATGTGAATATAGCCTTATACTCTCCTACAATACTCTTTTCTTAATTTCGCTTTAATTCAAATAATTCGATTCAAAGCATTGTTTTGTTTCTGGTGGTATTTTACCTTGATATTTGTATTCGTTTATTTAAATATCACTGTATTAGATTTGTATTATCCATCTTTGTATTGGTTTATTGGAGAGTTCTGAACAAATGTCAACTGACTTGAATTGAAGTTTAAGGATTTGTTTTATTGAATAACTAACATTGTCTTACACGATATAAAGCGGCCAACATTGCTACCCCCCCCCCCCCCTTCTTTTTGCTTTGTGCTAGCATCTATCCTCTTTCCCCTCTTCACACAGACTACATCGCTGCCACGTGGTCCCATTTTCAAGATCGTTGTGACAGGGTGCGTAAAGGACCAGGGGTCTAGCCCCTTGCTGGTGCCTGTCACCGATAGTGCGCCCTCTAGTGTCAACTATCACTGGGTGAGTACGTATTTTTCTCCAGATACATTCATAAACTGTTCCTTGCTCTACGATTCGACTCAGGTGTCAATATTTCCTTCGTTTTTCACTTATAACTTTCTCTTATGGTTAAGAGTGTTTGATTAATGAATCTTAAACAATGCCAGCACGAAGAAAATATTAGTTTAAATATGAAAACAAGGTAAAACACAATACTAAACACCACTTTTTGACCTTGTCAGTTAATGCAATGTGTTGAACAAATGACAACTGGACTGATAAACCTTTCCAATTTTGTATGAAAGTTGTTTATGAATCCCCATAGACTTTTTACACAAGCAAACAAAGGATAGTTCATTCCATGCTAAAACAGAACAAAATTAAAAATAACTACATATGTGTGCAATACAAGGAATTGTATTTTCCTGTTTCTCTTTTAAAGAGATTTTATTCACATTAAAAATTATTCAGGGATTACATGTAATAGCTCTGACATATATTTTAAGAAAGTATATTAACTTGGGGACACCATTTCCAAGATGTCACAGCAGTTTAATATGTTGTTCTGGGTATAATCCTAATAGAATTTAGCAAGTTCATTTTCCTGCAGTCTTCAGTCTGTTCATTGTAATATTTTTAAAATTTACCTCTTGATATTTTAAACCTTTAATATCATGATATAAATTCTACATGCAGAAAGTAATATGAAGTTTGTGAGTACATTTACATCATTGTTACTTTTTGACACGAATTAGGTTGAACTGATCAAGTTTCCAATTCTGTGTGTTCCAAACCCTTTTTTACAGCTGACCTTGCAGAACTTTCTCAAGGATCGAAAACGTTCTTGCAAGCTTCTGTGCCACAAGCACTCTTTAGACACACCAAGTTTAATTTTCAGAAATGTCAATATTTTACAAGTTAGGACGAGTTGGTCCACAAGTCAACGACAGTAACTTCCAGCAAAGATTGTATACAAATGTCCTCATATAAACAAACAGTGTCCATTTTGCTTCAACAGTTCTATGGTCAAATAGTTTACACTGTCTAATTCAAGAGCAAGTTTGAACCATGAGGAGGTTCATAGTGATTGTGTTCATGGGCAACACATTTACTACAATTGCCTCTCTCCACACAGGAATCTCAATGAATAAAACTGTGAGGGTGGAGAACAGATCATGCTGATCTCCAAATTCTGTATAAAACTGATCTCTTTGCCTAGATCACTCCTCTGGCTCAGTAAGAGGCAGCAATAGTAATCAGTTTGAAGCGCTTTGAGACATTTGTAGAAAGTACTGCAGGCTAATTCGGCGAACAAAATTAGAAGCCATTTTTGAGGAGGCACGACATTCAAGCGCTTGCCGCACGTGTTCTTAAAGATGAGACGTGTGCATTTTGCCAACCCTATTGGTCGAAGGAGCCCGGAGTGCGTGCGTACTACCTGAGCGCGTCTCGCACAAGCCTGGTGCCACCTCAGAAAATGGCTGTTACTGAATTCATCTATAGTGGAATCTGGTGACCAGAATTGGAAGCTTTTACTGCGGTGGTGTCACGCTCATGCGCATACTGCACGCGTTTTAAAGGTGAGGCACGCGCATTCTGGTATTCCTATATGTCAAAAGATCACAGCACGCGCGCCCTACCTTAAGGCGACTCGCGCGAACCTTGCGCCACCGCAGAAAAAGGCCACCGCAGAAAAAGGCTGCCGCCAAATTTGTCTCTGGAGAACCAGATTGAATAGAGCACCCTCACTGTGGCAGATCACTTTTCCCCTGTGATATGCAGGAGTAGACTCTGTGTACATGTACTTTCATTGTTACAGAATATAATTAAAAAACCTGTCCACACTGTGCAAGGAGTACAGTCGAACCCTGATAAGAAGAGCACTGTTAATTAATACAAGGTACTGCTTATAACAAGCAAAATTTTAGGCCCAAAGTCTTTGATTTTTCTTTGTTTTCCGTTACTGTTAATACAAGGTACCTGTTATAACAAGGTAATTCGTAAAGTCCCAAGGACCTTGTTATAAAGGTGTTCGACTGTGTTTAGAATATCTTGTGGTAGGGATCAGCTATCAACAATACACGTGAAGTGTAATCATGATTGAGCCTGTTCCAGAGCTTTTACAACATTTTCCGGTACTTCAACCTCATTGAGATTTTCCATGCCCGGTTCCGGTTCGTCCATAATCAGCAACTGGATCAGGTTCTCTATGGGCTGCTGTAAGGATGGGTCCTCTTCCCATCGATGGTATTCCCTTATGATGATGTAGGTCTGCTTGTCTTTCACCGTCTTGCGGCCAGACTTGGTGGCGCAAAGCTGTGAAACAAACACACACCAAATGGACAGCATAATCCATCAAAAAAAACCATTCAATTTAACGATCATTCATCAGAATTCAAATAAATCATATCATTTCAAATCATGATTTTAAAATCAGCCCATGCTGTACTTGATAAATCACAGGTCCCATGACCTGAATAACAGGGGTAATATTAAATTGTGAAGCACTTTGAGACCTTTGCTAAGAAGTGCTATATTAGCACCTGATTATTTATCTCTGGCTCAAGCTTCAGAACTCAAAAGATATTTAGGCCCCTGACTCTGGTTCTGTGTGGACCCATGTTTTGCTTCACAAGCATCAAATCATTTTATATTGAGTTCAAAGTAACAGTGAGTCTATTTGGTTAGAACAATCAAGTTTTCAAAATGATTCAGGGGCCAGATTTAAGCCAGAAGTTATGCTGAGGTTTATTAAAACTTTAATACCTTAAACTTTAATACTTTAAACCCTTTGATACCTTCATGACCGCCTCCAAGAGCATCTTCTTAATATCTGAATTCTCCTCTCTCCTCTTGTCCTCCTCCAGGTATTGTAAGTCCTCTGGCATGCCTTCCATCTCCTCCTCCGATAGCTCCTCGGGACCCGCAAGAGGCAGCAACAGATGCGGTAGGATGTCCACTGCATCGCTTAGCAACCAGTCATGGTAATCTAATCATTTCAAAGAAACAGTCAGTTTAGGACTACAAAACTGGATGTTGCATTATTTGGTTTCTCTGAACAGTCGCTGGAAAGCCTTCGTTGTACATTTTCTTTTTCAATAAATTAAGACATGGTGACTGTCATTGTAACCCACAAGCACATCTAACATGGTTGTACTCATATGATGTGCCAAACCTTATTATTTTCAATAGGCCTAAAAGCAATGCATAAGTCCGTAACCACAATAGCTGAATTTTTGGTGGTGCAATGCTCACAACAGCAACTTTGCGAGGCAGAAGTTTCGGGGATTATTGAAGAAACTGTAGTGAGTAAGAAGCTTGCAAATTTGATTCACACTGGTTTTATTATGCAGCACAAACATTTGCACGATATGGATACCTTAAGTTGTGGGACTCTCATACACAGTATTGAGAGTCCCAAATTTTCGGACTAGGGCGGATCTAGATTTCAGTGAACAGGGGGTTTGATAAGAGGGGTAGGGGGTTGAGTGAAGACGTGCCGAAGGCATGCTCTGATAGGGAGTCCGGGGAATTCCCCACCCCCATTTTTTTTTACATTGACGATGCTTTCTCCTACATTCTAAAGCAATTTGAGAATACATTAGGGAACTTTAGCTTAGGCCACATTTTACTAGTATCATAACATGAATCAGCATCTTGCCAAATCAAAGTCTTGCCATTGATCCCCCCCCCCCCCCTGAATTATATCCTCTGACATTTTGCTTTTCATGCCATTTAACAAAAACAAAATTGTAGTTTACGTGAAAGTTACATCAAAGGAAGACATGATAAACAAGAAAACAAGACATGATACAGAAGCGATCACTAAACGACGTGATTGCTTGGACACCAGCAAGTCTGGTCCCAAGCTAGACAGTTATGTTCTTGTGTCTCCTCAGACTAAACTGCTATCGCAGTTCCGTTCACACTTGACTTCACGAGTTGACTTGGGAGCGAGTTGACTTGGGAGCGAGTAGTCTTGGGAGCGAGTTGACTTGGGAGCGAGTTGACTTGGGACCGAATTGACTTGGGACCCAGTTGACTTGGGACCCAGTTGACTTGGGAGCGAATTGACTTGGGACCCAGTTGACTTGGGACCCAGTTGACTTGGGACCCAGTTGACTTGGGAGCGAGTTGACTTGGGACCCAGTTGACTTGGGAGTCAAGTTGGGACCGAGTTGACTTGAGACCCAGTTGACTTGGGACCGAGTTGACTTGGGACAGAAATGACCTGGGACTGAGTTGACATGGGACCGAGTTGACTTGAACCGAGTTGATTTGGGACTGACTTGACTCCATACAAGTGATAGGTGAATTATCTTCACCTGTTTCAAAACAGCAGTTTCTCAGGGCAGCCACTGCCCCCATCCTCCTCACAGTCGAGCCCTCGTACTGAGTATAGGGCAACAACCTCTGCACAACGCATCTCTCCTTATCCAAGACAAACTCTCGCCCCTCCGGCATTTGAGTCAAGTTGGAAAGCACCATCCCCAAGTAGTCCAAGCTAGCTCCTTTCTCATTGTATCTCTTTGCACAGAATGCCTCGACCAGCTTCACCAAGTCCACGGGAAAATCTGTCTCTCCCAAACATTCCATGACATTTCTGCATCCAAATGGGATGCGGGTTAAATTTGACAGCACTTTGCACGCGTTGTCCGCATTACAACTAGACTTCTCAACCACTGTTTTTAACAACACCGACAACAGCTTTTTATTTGAAATTAGGTTATTTAGGTTTTCATCTTCATTGCTTTCGAATTCTGCAGCTAGATTGATGATTGATTTGTAAGCATCCGCGGAAATTTTTTCGTTCGGGTCTTGTGTCAAATCTACGAGAGCGGCGAGTAGCTTAGCGTGCGAGAGGAGTAGCTGTGTGCCGTCTCCAGACGACGTCATGCCCATTACTTGTTGCATTGCAGTCGCTTTCAAGTCCGGACGAGCGGACACGGAAAGAAAGTCCACAAACTCATCCAGAACGGCAGGGTCTGCCATGGCTAGGATCTTTGTAAAACGGATGCACTCTTTTATTTGTGTGGCTTTCACGTTAACAACAAATCACAGAGTTTGACAGGAATTCAATGAAGCGCTTCAGTTTCGATGTTTCTTGCAAAAATAATAGAGAACACGTGGTCAGAAATGTATTGCACGGTAACCTAACGTAAACCGTATCTAATAGCAGCCATAATTTTGAGGGTATCCGACTCATTTTGTACCTCAGACACTAGAGGGCGCTACATACCTACACTGCACTTTGCACGAATCAGACGGGTATTCCACTCACTCTCAAACTTCGCTCCGTTTTCTGCCTGCAAATTTTATATTTGTATCCACCACAAAAATAAGCAAGCAGCTACGCAAGATGTCTACGGGTTTTCGGTATTGTTTACGAGTTGGGAAGATGGTCTTGTGTGGCGTTACGACCGGTGTAGCTGCGGCGGCCGTAGTGTACAAAACCAACGGGGGCAAAGAGGATTTCTTGCCCACGGCGCAGGCGTCGTGGACCACTGGTTACACGCCGAGCACCAAGTGGGAGGGAAACTGGGACAGGTAATTTTCACGGAGAATGCTGTGTCCAAACACCACCTTTTGTTTCACTTTATCTTCAATGATTGTCACGTTCTGTAGATAAACTTGAAGAAGAAACATACAATTACAAAGTTGCAAACAACGAAATTTATACAGAAAAAAACATTTCCCCTTGTTGCATTTTTCCTTGACCTTTTCTAATGTCTGTTTTGCATGATGAAATTTTGCATCAAGGATGTTTGTAATATTAATATTAAGTAAGCCTATTATTGTGTTTTGCTCTTTATATGTAGGCCTATGCCCCATACGTCATTGCATTTACGATTGTGAAGGGCAAAACATGTAATTTAATTAAATTGAACATTCCTAAGTTTTATGTAATAGACTCGTAAATAGCTTGTGATGATATCCTGAATGGTAATAAGATTCATTTCATGGAAAGAGGGCATTTAGTTTGAAGTTAAAATTTTAGGGAAACATGCATTGGCATGTGGATATTTGCGCTCAAAATTTCAATGAATTTCAGTGCATGATTACTTTGCAAAAACATTGAAGAAACGATACATGAAACAATTGCTAAAGTTACAACTTACATTTAAAAAAGGCTTTGGTTTCCGCAAGAGGGAACAGTTCATACAAATGGGTGCAACTTCTTGATTTCAGGAGGGAACCGGAGAGCCTGTTGTCCCCCAACAAGACAGAGCTTGACGGGTCCGAGTACAGCGCCCAGATACAGAAACTGAAGCCCACAGCGACACGCCACCTGATCCTGATCAGACATGGACACTATGCAATAGAAGGAGAGACGGATGAGAAAAGGGTTCTCACTGCCCAAGGTAATAAAAAAATACTACAGTTGCATTCAGACTTAAGCATTCAGTCACCACATTTGTACATAATACTGCAGTCTTCCTTAATTGACAAACAATGAACAGATTTTTAATGGAATTGTAATTTTGATGCAGATATTTTTAACTTCTTACAATGGTAAGTAAAGGTTGATTAACCCTCCTATGCAAACATACATGCTATACCAAGTAGTCCCTTCAGTCAAACTCAATCAAGTGACTGTGTTCAACAGTTAAGAATTCCCAGCCGACATAAAGCAGGATTGAGTAACTTGATACAGCTATGCTTTGACTCCAGATAAAACATCTGTGATCACAACTTGCCTGCTTTGTCTGTTGACCCAGTTTGACTAGTCACAGTGCTTGCTTGACATGTGATCTGACTGCTGGTGACCAGCAGGAGTAGTAGATGGACATTTTGACTGTCTGTGACTGTTTAGCGGGAGTGTTAAAGACACATTCACAATATAAATTACTATTCTCCTACATGTTTGTACATATATATACACTAGGTGAGCTGTTTCCAAATGCTAATGCTGAATTAACATGTTATATTAGAAGCCTAGAAAGAAGATTTCAACAAATTAGTCAATGTAGGCATTTTTTGAATGCTTTCTCCACACACTGCAGAAAGCTTATCTGCTTTTACGTTGTAAATTCTGTGAGCAAAACGGGCTGCGTCACGCGGCTTAATTACGCGATGAGTGAGTGTCATGTCATGCATAGCTTCGATTTACGCGCATATTCCATACGTTATTCTATACGCGCAGCATTTTGCTCACAGGCGCAATAGCAAATGTCGTGTCTAGGTTTTATTATATGTCTATGGGCATAACGAAGTGGGGCATGCATGCACCCCATCTTCTTTCTATAAATATTGTAAGTGTATCCCTCCCCTTCTACTAAAACTTGTGGAGAAGGTGAATATGAGTTTTTTTAATTTTTTAAAACCCTTGATTGTGTGCCCCTCCAGAAAATGAGGAAATGCCGATTACCCACTCCCCACCTTCCAAACGTGAGCGCTCTTCAAAACTGACCATTATTATGCATACTGCACATTATATACCCATTTTCATGGCACATTGTAATGGTTTTTGAGGGGGTTTTCTTCTTGGGATTTTTGTCAGAACTCTCTAACCATTTATTGAAATATTTGCTGAACAAAAAAATGTTATGAAAAAAAATCCGCCGGGGGGGGGGGGGGGCAGAGTGCCCCCCCCCCCCCCCCCCCCCCCCCCCCGCCCCCGCCTTGTGGATACGCCACTGGAGTTGTACATGTAGGGTTATTTCCTGCACTCGACTTGGTTCTTGGTTCTTGGTTGGTTCTTCTCCTAAATACTCCACGTAGGAGTTTATACAGGAGGCCAGAACCACCGGGGCAAACCCCTTCTCTTAGCGACTTGTGTGCATATTCCCCAAAATACCCCCAATTCCCTTCCAGGTATCTCTGCCCGGGCCTGTATTCCTACAGTTGGGGAAAAAATGATTACAGTAAGGTATACTAATTAAATTGAGGAAATTAAAATAACTTTCATCCAATTTTTCTTGCTTTTTGATTTCAATTTCTGAAGGAAGGGAACAAGCTGAATTGACAGGCAAGCGACTAAAAGAGTTGGATTACCCCTACTCGATAATGATCAATTCCTCAATGACAAGAGCTCAAGAGACTGCAGATATCATAGCTAAGAGCGTACCACTTGTCCCGAGGGGTGTTTGTAACATGCTGAGAGAAGGGGCTCCCATCCCACCAGAGCCTCCGGTTGGCCACTGGAAGCCAGAAATTAAGGTAAGCTAAAAAAAAACTAGCGATGTTTTGAAAGTTCCACAGTCTATCTTTAACCCTAACCGAACTCAACTCATCAAAGTTCAACAGCATGTTTTGTTTAAATCTGTTGGGAAAGGTACAGTACCCCTAAACTGATGGTCTTTTACACTGGGGTTGGCATACCTCCAGAAAGTCCAACAGTGTGTATGTACAATTTCCCATGTGGGTGTTGGAATTTGCCAGAATGGGTATGGTTCCTAGTAAATTCGGCTGGGGAGTTAGGGTTAATGTTTTTTTGTTTACTTTCCCCATGAATGGTGCTCAAGGCACTATACATCATCATTTCCCCTTCTTTTTGTCCTATGAAGCACTCCAAATGACAATGAGCTCCCTGGGAGTATAGAGCTTGATGCTACCATTTTGGTGCACAGCACTCTTAAGATAAATCATGGTTACCAAAATTAATCACAGTTAGATTTCCACAATAAGCTTGTTGCACAACTTCTGATAGATTTCACAAAACTCAGCATAGCTGCATAGCATAGCTCATGCTTTCAAAGGCACTCTCGAAACATGAGGGAGAATATTCACCATTAAATAAGAACAGATTCACAATGCTTCAGCTACCAAGTATTTTGCATAAATTGGTGTGCAAATGAGCCAGCGTAGTAGACAAGGCCATCACAAGTCCTCACAAGACTATCACAAGTCAATCATTACACCTCCAGTCCCGAGTCGAGTCAGCTATTACTCCAACGATCTGGAAGGTGTTCCTGTGTTATTGTTCATCTCCTGCTACCTATGACTGGACTTGTGATTTACCAAGGACTATACATGTGATTTACTTGTGACTGGACTTGTGACTGGACTCAACTACATACAACTCTGAAACTATCACACATTTGTCATGAGGTACCTCTGTCATGCTCCATAAAAACACAAATGCAAGTCTGGTGAATAGAAACAATCATTATTTTAAAACAAAATGGCAACTCCCATCCCAAGTAAAACAAAGTAACACTACCAAGTCCTTGTTGCCATGTCAATACTGCCAAGTCCTTGTTGCCATGTTAACACTTTGATGTCCTTGTTGCCATGTCAACACTGGAAAGTCCTTGTTGCCAGGTTAACACTTCCAAGTCCTCAATGCCATGTTAACACTTCCACGTCCTTGTTGCCATGTTAACGCTTTGATGTCCTTGTTGCCATGTTAATACTGCAAAGTCCTTGTTGCCATGTTAACACTTCCAAGTCCTTGTTGCCATGTTAACGCTTTGATTTCCTTGTTGCCATGTCAATACTGCAAAGTCCTTGTTGCCATGTTAACACTTCCAAGTCATTGTTGCCATGTTAACACTGCCAAGTGCTTGTTGCCATGTCAAAACAAACAAGTCATTGTTGCCATGTGGAAAAGAAATACGTTGTCAAGTTTAAGAAAGTCAGATGTGAACTTTACCCTGTCTAAATTATCATGTATTTTTTGTTTCATCTGCACTGGTGTTCCCCTGTCATCCCCACTCTAGCAGTTCTACGAAGACGGTGCCCGCATTGAAGCGGCCTTCAGAAAATACTTCCACAGGGCCGACCCTGATCAGATCAAAGACAGCTACGAGATACTGGTGTGCCATGCCAATGTCATTAGGTACTTCGTATGCAGGTAAGCAGGGGGAAGGGGTGGGGTGGGGGGAGTCTGAACTCTGTGTTACAACTGATAATGTAGTTACCAACGGATAATGTATCACCAACCGATAATGTCACATAAATTAACCGATACTGTATCACTAACCGATAATGTAACAAAAATTGACCTATAGTGTAGTAACATTTACTACACTCTCAGTCCATTTTTGTTACATTATCGGTTTAGTGATACAACATCGGTCAATTTATGTGACACTATCGGTTGGTGATACGTTATCCGTTGGTTACTACATTATCAGTTGTAACACTCTGAAGCAGGTATGTGGGAGTTGGGATCACAAGTGTGTGATGATGATATAGAGCTAGGTCCTAGCTCTATGATGACATGTATGCACAGGGTGAAATTACAGCTACAACACTTATCAACCGTTTAACATTTCTATATTTACATTTAAATTTCAAGGAATATTTTTCACAAAATGTGAACATTTTAGGCATATTTGAGATACCTCTGTTAGTGCTGTGCAAAGGGTGAACAGAATTGAACATCTTGAAAAGTGTCCTACGTGTTCTAGAAAGAGCAACTTTGTTCTTGTAAATTGAAAGAGCGCCCTCTGGTGAAGTTGTGCCTTCAGAACTCGGGTCAGGATTTGTCAGTGGACCTTATTCACGAGGAAGCCATCATGGTCGTGTTCCCTGAATGTATTTTATAAATTGTGAACTGTTGCATGGGATGGTGCCAGACTATTTATGCATTCTAGCCTCACTTTTAGTTTCTTTTTAAATGTGGCTTAAAACATTAGGGTATGTTTAATAACTAATTTTAAATTATTTATCAGAGCAAACTGCTATCAATTTGTAGTTAACTTTATGTCATTGCTTTCATTTCCCTTAGCAAGTTCCAAAAATGAAGATTTTACCACGCTTTCAATAAGCCATTTGCGTGTTAAATTTGAATAAAATCTGGAACGCTGACTTAATACAATGCTTTGCACGTTTTAACCTAGCATTCTCCCGACCAAAGAGACTGTTACTATATCACGTGATTCGGGGCAAGCCTTATGCTAGCAACCCCCAGCTCCGGCATGGTCTGGTGTCTTTGTGCCATTCTCACCCATTGTGAACGATGTATTGGTGCTGAGCGTCTCTTACGTAACTATGCAATAGCTTGCCCCGAATCATGTGATTAGCAACAGTGTCTTTGGTCTGGAGAATTCACAGTTAAAATGTGCCAAGCATTCTGAGCAAGTCATTGTACCAGACGTTTTTCAAATGTAAATCCCAAAGGGTATAGGTTACTCGCAAATGGCTCATTTAACCCTAACCGAACTCAACCCATCAAAGCTCAACAGCATACCTCCAGAAACTAAGTCCAACAGTGTGTGTGTGCGATTTCCCACGGGGGTGTTGGAATTTTGCCAGGATGGGTACGGTTCCTAGTAAATTAGGGAGTTAGGGTTAGTATGGCCGACTCATGAATAAAGCCCAAGTAGTGCCGCTATGTTAAATGTGTACTTTCCTTCACTGGCTCTTTTAGGTCTCACATTGCCATCTGCATGTACGGTTGTTAATTTATAAAGTTTCTTTTTCCATCCTTTTACTCAGGGCTATGCAGTTTCCACCTGAAGCCTGGCTACGCATAAGTCTCAACCACGGCAGCATTACCTGGCTGGCAGTCAGACCCAGTGGGCGTGTATCGCTACGGCAACTAGGCGACTGCGGTCACATGCCACCGTCCAAAATCAGCTCAGCTTAGCAGCGGAACCCATCATCACAAGAAATTCAGGTTTCAGAAGTTATTTGTTGTTAAAAGTCAGGGCGTATTTTTTTCTTTTTTTCCGTTGATAAATCTTAAAAAGGTAATATACAACATTTGCTTTTGCTGTAATTTTCAGAAATGGATGGATTTGGGGGTTAGTAGTTTATAGGAAATATTGTTACACTGACCTGTTTAAAGCTTGAAGTTCCAGATTCTGGAAAAACCAAGACAAAACAGAGCAATTTACAGATGGACTAGAGCTGGCTTGCACCCATTTACAAATGTGTAACCGATTGCAAACAAAATATGGACAAACTAATTTGGGGGCAGTATTTGAAAAAAGTCAGTTGTCCAACGATGGTCGGCCAATTTCTTGAAAACGACAGCGCACCGGGTGCCATGATTTCACAGGATGCTTGAGAGACTATTAGTCAGTGACAGTCAAGAAAGGTATTTCATAATTTGGTAGTTTTGTTTTTTGATGTTTGCAAATGTTGTATATTACCCTTCAGTACCTCACTTTTTTAAGTGTATAATGCACTGTGCCCAAAGTATTACCAAAATGAAGCATGTTTTATAAAGTAAAAGTCAATTGGAAATCAGTTGTCAAGACCATCCCCCACAAGTTTATTGCAATCAATCCAGTATCAAGTCATTAGCTATTCAAATGAAGTGTGACAAGAACAATCTGTTGTCTTTGTCCATTTAGGATTTTCCTGTTACCTGTGACTGGACTTGTTATCTGACTGGTGTTGGACATGACTACAAAATATCCCATTTCTAGGAATTCCCAAGAAGTAGTTCATAAATATATATATTTTTTTTCTGTTTACAAGCAGAAAGCTGCAGCAGAGTGTGAACAGTTGATCAAATTGTAAGGTTTTATTGGAAATACACCAATTCAGTCGAATATATTCAGGTGGAAAAGTAGCATTTACAATCTTTACACCAGCTCTTCATTATCTGTATATTGTTGGTTTTTTTTCACATAGAGGAGTAACTTTCATAACGGGTTCCAAATGTATGCATCATTTTTATAACATTTTCTTTTACTTTTCTGATTCATCTAATGTGCCAAATTTATCTACTGATTTCTTTTTCTTTTTTGTTTGTCCATATTATGTAATAATACAATTCTTTTCTGGGCCTCACCTGTATGAATATTCATACATAACACAATTTAGAATTTTGCATTGAAATTTGTAGGAAAGGTGTGCATGGGAGGTTTTTCTAATGTGTTGTTACCCGAATCGCTGAATTCAAAAACGGTTTGTCGAGTATACAATAAAAACAAATTGGTGCAATTCTATTTTTATACTTTCATGTAAACATACATTAAAAGTATTTCTATCTAACTTAAGTGTGGTTTGGGATGAATATTCTAACAAGTTGAAATCATTTCTTGAATAAAATATCCGACAAGAATTTACCAAGGTTGATTTAACTATTATTATTATTATTTTTTATTTGTGTGTGTGTGTATTTATTTTCGAGTGTATTCATGCGTTAAGAGTGTGAAGCTCCTAATTCAAATAATTCAGAAGTTGAAATTACTTAATTGGTTACTTATCATGGGCTAATTTATTTTCGTTCGATGTCTCATTGGAAAGCTCACAACAAATGTAATGCTAGAAATTATCAGTTCAATTTAATAATCTATTTTTCGGGGTGCCACACCCAAAAAGCATGTATATACACTGTACCAGCTTTAACCCTAACAGAACTCAACCCGTCAAACTTCAACAGCATGTTTTGTTGGAATCTGTCAGGATGGGTACAGTACCCCTAAACTGAATTTACTTTGGGTTGGCACACCTCCAGAATCAAAGTCAGAAATATGTGTGTGCAGTTTCCCATATGGTGTTGGAATTTGCCAGGATGGGTATGGTTCCTAGTAAATCATGCTAGGGAGTTAAAGTTAAGCATGAGTTTTTACATTGATAAGCACACCAAAAATGCCCGAATGGAACACATTTGATATTTTGTTTTTGTAGCCATGCATCATAACCATAATGCATATACATGTACATGTATATGAATTTGAGAACCCATTAAAATATACATATTTAAAGCAAAGAAGAAGTAAACATTCGCACATATACATGTATGACAACGAAAGATCATGTTGGTAGACTTTGTATTTATTGATAAATGACACGATATTTAAACAATAACTTCTATGAGAATTTACACATGTATATGTATACGCCTCAAAATTACAATGTATTTCAAGCAGAAGGTACTGGCTGGAATTTGATACTTTTCTCAGAATGCAACACTCAAACAATGCAGGTAGATGCAGAGCAAGAACTTCAAGAAAGTTTTTAAAAAATTTACGCATGATAAATAACATTAAAAGTTGGTACCTGTACATGTAAGCATTTTAATACAGTATAAAGTCACTATAAATCAAACTTTTGTTTCACAACATTGCCTGTAACACGCCAGCCAGTTGCTGCCAAGCAAAACAAAATCCACTTAAATGAATGGGCGTTTTTTCATTTTGCTCCCAACATAGTTGTATATTGTACAGTGAAGTGAACCCTTGTCACTAAAGCCCTGACGTGACTTGGCAAAATATTTATCAAGTTTTTGTATAAAGACCCTTAAACAATCTTGAATAATTTCAATTATTTTTCCAGACCTTAATCTTTCCAAGAAAGGTACAGAACAATATAAAAACTGTTATCTACAATCAAAGTTTAATTCTAAAATCATTTTCACGTTTTTGCTAAACAAAGAATTCACTATTTAAATATAAGACTGTGAAACCACAATAACTAATATTCTGAACTACATATTTTCTGCAGATTTCTACCTTTCCCCCAGACTACATGTAGTACATTTTCTTTGAATGATTTGTTATCTGCCCTTTTATCAATACATGTAGTCTGAGTTTTATGAGGGGAAACAACTTTGGTTGCATCCACATAATTATGCTTCAAATATAAAATCTTATCAAGGTATTCTTGATAGTAGATTTGGTAACATAAACTGAGTCAAGATTGTCAGACATGTGCACCTCACCTCAATTTTGTGTGGATAAGAATGTACGCCAACTATTGACTGATTTGACGGTGTTTAATTCTTGTGAAACCCTATCACAGGATTTAAATACACTAGTTGTGGTATAAGCGAGTCTGGGACATAGCCAGACATATTCCAAGTAAAGTTAAAAATCAAGCTAACTAATTTTCTTCTTGAGTAATGTTGAATCACACAAATAAACCAAAATATCTTTTAAAAATAAATAGCTTCTATGCAGAAAATACCATCGTTCACTTAACCACAGCCAACAAAACATAAAATATACCCACACCATGTATTTGTTAAATTTTATTTCAAAAAGAAAACAATTTAAAAGCACAATTCAAAACTAGACTACTTATATACAATCCAATCTGTTTACCAACAAACACTGCCTTGTCACTGACGCCAAAAATCAGTTTCAAAAGTATCAAAAGATATGCAGCCATTTTTTTTTGTGGGGGGGGGGGGGGGGAAGGGACACAACACAATTCTGTCTCGAGATTTCTTGTTCTACTTGCAATACTGATATGGATCTATGCAAGCAATTAATGAAAGAAACTTAAATGTTTTGAGTTTTCATTTTTTACATTTGTCCTAGTCCACTGCTGATCAATAGCAGATGGGGAGTGCAGCATGTAGATATACTGATATGTGCTTTGGCCAGCTGCTTTGGCCAGCCGAATTGACAAAATTGCCTTCGAAGACCGTTACCGGCACCGAGGAACAGGCATTTATTTACCAAACAATCAGACATCCATGAACAATTGTAATTTGGCTCTGGGCTAAATTACTTGGCTTCGCTCGCTAAAATGTTCTGTAGTGTGCAGGTTCCATATACTTGCAAATAAATGCAATGGTCTCTTAAACTTGTTGATGTCTTCCTGAAAACTTATAACACTGTAAAGATATTGACCACCCACATCAGCTCTCTCTCTCTCTCTCTCCCTCTCTGACTTTCCACAATAACTGGTACCATATGGACTCCAAATATGTCCTGAACTCTGTACAAATATTTTATAATATGTGATGCCTTCTATTCTTCAAGGCCTTCCAGGTCCACTCCCGTTGTGGGATGAGCCGACGCTTGGGTGAGTAGGGCTCTGTCGTTGCTGAAAACAAATACACAAAGAAAGTTGCATTTAATTTGTGGACCACTGCTTTCTTAGATGAATAGGAACATTTGTTTATGTGCTATTTTTTTATTTGAAGCAACAAAACTGCTCAAGATCTTATGACGAGTGCATAACAACTTGGTTGTTTAAGTTTCAGCTCGTTGGATACTGTACATTTTGAGAAAATAGAGATGCACAGTTTTGGGATCTCGTAATTGGACTCTGTTCCTAATACATGTTAAAAATTGTACCCACAGGCACATTTTCTTAAACCACCTTCAGTTGCTGTTTTTTTTCCCCATTTCAGGCAGACTATTTGGTAGACTATTTCACAGCGTATTTGGTATCAGTCCTATCTTCACTTTGAGCACGGATTTCCTTGATAAATCGGTAGGTACATTTCCTGGTAATTGCAAATGTTCCTACATACCCTTAACTGCACTAAAACCTTTGGCAAAAGCTCAAAAAAGAGTTATGCTTTGAGATGCAGTTTGAGAGAACCAATGTCAGATTGTGCTCCTATGGTTTATTGGCAGACTCTTCCATTGAAAAGTGGCTGCAAAAGAGAAAGGTCTCTCGCAAAAATCCTCCATCTTTGCAGATGATGCCACAAGCAACAGCACATCGCTTGAGCATTGCTAGCCATCGGACTTGCAAGGTGAGTTGGTGTGTAAACCAATGTGCTTTGCCATTAATCTTAACTTTCTTGTTCGGAATGTTCCTGAAACCTCCACAGGAATCAAATTGCACATTTTCTGTATTCGTAAACTATTAAAAGAATTCAAGCCTAATGCAAGGCACTGTTGAACATATGTAGTCAAGTTCATCACAAGTAAAAAATTCACAAGTCCTATCACAAATACAGTCACAAGCAACAGTGGATGACTGATTACCAAGGACTGCTTACATTGTAACTCTTTTGGAAAGCTTGTGACTTGACTTGAGACAGGAGGACTTCGGCTTGACTTGGGATTGACCTGTCATGACTTTGCATGTTCATTGATATTACCTTTTTCTTCTTTTTCTCTTTCTTGCGTTTCTTGCGTTCTCCGTCCTCGTGCTTCTTCTGCTTCTTGTGTTTCTTGTCGTGGCTTCCCTCCGTCCCTGCCTCACCTGCTGCCAGATTTGCAAAGCAGACAAAGTGGAGGTAAGATTACGTGGTCATGCATGTTGTGCCCTTGAGTAAGGTGCTTTACCTCAATTACTCCTCTCTCTGGGTACCGGTGTCATATGAAAATCGGACTTGTATGGAATTCATACTCTTTTTCCCTTTTATTGGTAAACCCTCTCACGTGACCGGTCCCTCTCCTAATTATCTATGCATGAGCATGCGCAATACCACAAATGAGTCCGTATTTCATAAAACCTAAATTCATGCTACACAGGCATTATTCAATGCTGGGAAGGTAACAGACTTACTGTGGAGGTGTGGCGATCCCCCCCCCCCCCCCCCCACAGCAGCAGCATTATATTGAGTCTGGCCCAATCGCTTCAAAAGAGAGATGGACACTACATTCCTGTGAACACAGGTTTGTCCCCTTTACTTTTCTTTAAGATTACACAGTTCAATATATGGCAAAATCCTATACTGAATTTATCATCCGGATGTAAATTGCATGTTATGAAAAGATTACACAGGAAATGAGAAAGGTACGAATTAGGTGTGACATCTTTTTTGTAACTTATCTCCCTCATCAAGTGACGTAATGGACTCCAAGCAGGAAAAGAAGATGGCACTATGTGGCAGGTGCAATGAAGGGGGGAGGCTTTTTTGATATTGGAGATCGGGATTGCTTGGATGATAATAGAAGTCCACATACCTGTTGCTGTTATTTCTGTAGTGTCTGGCGGCCGGTGCTCCTTCTTGTGTTTCTTGTGTTTATGCTTCTTGACTGGCTGGTGATGCAAGAGCTTAAACTGCTCAGGAATCTGCCAAAAATGAAGAACACTCAATATTTGTTTGTCTTAATTTAATGGAATTAGTGCAGTTTACTACTTAGCAGTTTGCTAATTAAAGTAACATCAGCCTCAAAGTAAGATTATTGTCCAAAGTTCTTAATGCAAGCGGTAGTAATTTTGTTAACCACAAGACCCTTAGAAGTCGACACAGAATAGACTTTATACGTTAAGACGAAGTTAGGGCAATGGTTTTGTATTGCTTGGGTAGGCATGAGTAAACCTTTAAATGTTAAATAACAGAGAACCCTAAGGTCTATTAGGGATTTTGTCTTAATTTGTCAATCACCAAAACCAAAGGTTCATTCAAGAAGAAGCTACGTTGTCCTGAAATGTTCCATTAACAATTTTAAAAAGTCCCACATTTTGAGAAAACAAACATGAGATTGGAACCATACGCCATGTTTACACAGTGTGCCATGTAACATTACAGATATTACCCATAGCCACAACAGGAGGGAGTTATTTGGTTTGGATTATTGAAACTCTACTGCATTTATCAATACAAAATATTGCCCACTAATGTGTGTGCTGAATTTAACAAAGGCTAAAATACAGTAATTTTTTAAGATTTGACTCACAGATCCCGGATGTAGCTTGAAGCCCGTCAATGCTGGTCCAGACAGAGGGATGATCTCCTTGCCACCAATGGGCGGTTTGTCAATTAATGCTCGCAAACTGCTGTTGTCTTGTGCTCCAACCGTGTCAATCATCCCTGCCAAAAAAAGTAAAAAAATGATACTGAAACTTCTACTTTCTCAAAGGCACAGATTTCCCTTTCCTTGTTAAGAAAATAATAGAAATTTTAGAAACATCCACTCAGAAAGTTAATCTGCCATCCCCATTATTTTTTCACCGCTCAAAAACACCCATATGCATTTTTTACAAAAAAAACCCAAACATGTATATGCCACAGACTAATTCTAATGTTGTCCTCGACCAACAGACAGAATTCTTTTAAATGACAGACAGATCGACCCGATCGATTTCTTGAAACAATTTGAAGTCTTATCCTCACTTCAAATATGGTTTGTGTCAATTTATTGATTAGTATTTAGGTTTTGACAAACGACCACAATGAAGCATTACATGTGACCAGAAGAAAAATGAGTCGGCCCCATTAAATCAGACTTCTATTAAAGCCAGACTTAAGAATTCCTTAATTATATTTTGTAATTTGGTATCGTGTTTTTTTCATTTCATCCTAACGTTACAGTAATACACTGATACAATTTTAAGGAAAACAAACCTTAACCCTAACCCCTTGAGCACTTTTACTAGAAAGTATCCTGATTCCACCAAATCCACCAATTTTGTTATGCAAAAAATGTAGGTGTTGGTGACTGCTCAGTATGGAGATATCTGGAATCCATCAAAATCCTGCAGTATCGCTAGGCTTACAATCCTGAATCCATCAAGATCCCTCTATTTTCAATATGGAGGTATCCTGACTTCGCTGAATACTCCAGACAGGGTTATGGATTTTGATGGATTCAGGGTGGTTAGGGTTAAAGTCTTCTTTTGAAAACTGTGTATTGAGTTTGAGTTGACATGTCACTCCTTTAATCCTGATCCATTTGGTTCATGAATATGAATACTCTGGCGTCAAATTTGAGTATAAACACTCCACAGAGAACAAGTCATCTGAGCGACAGCAATGAGTGCTCACCAGGTAAGTGAGGCAGGAATGCACTGAGTTGTTCCTTGACCTTCTTGCTGGAGAATCTCTGGTAGCTGTGCTCCAGGCCGTAGTGGCTGATCAAATTGGTCTCTCCGGTCACTTCTGTTGGAGCTGAACAAAGAACAACCAAACTGGTTAATAAAGCAGGATACAGCCTCAACACATGCACACAAATAATGCACTTAATTGTCTTATATAAAATGTATCAGAATATCATGTATGTACTGTCATTGACCCCAGTTCTAAGTAACATTTGTGAGTCCGACTGTCGTTGGTCAAGTACGTTTGTTCTTGTCTGGTATGTCTTTCTTAAAGTTCTTTGTAAAATGATGTATATTATGTTAGGCTTGTTGTACATGTACGACTCCTTGTTCTCAAGTTTGTATTTTGCTCTTGATGGAAATAAATGTTCTTGAACTGAATTGAAATGTCGACAAAACCAGGATGTGCCATACCACTGTATGTGTATTTATATCATATGTAATTTACTGTAGGCTTTTCTACAATTGATTCATATTTCATTATGTAATTTGATTCCTTTGTTTAAAGTGCACCGTATACAATTATACCATTATTCAAAACATAAATAAGATTCAAATTACATTATCATTAAAAAAATCTGACCAACAAAATTTGCTCTGTATGAGCATTGCTGTGTGAGAGCTTGTATTATATCAGTAAATGTACAACTACAAGGATTACTTGGATGGGACTTGAACCAACGGCCTCCTGCTTACGGTGTCTTAACCACATGATCACTAATAATAACTTGCCAGGATCGGCTTGTGGCAAATTTGAATCTAATATAGCCATGGGGTACCACAAATTGAACTTAATGTTCAAATACAGTGATCATAAAAATAAACTTGAATGAATAGCTTTCAAATAATCGTAATAATTTTATGATTCATACATCACCAATTACTCCAATGCAAAATTTGTTAAGTTTAAGGCCTAAGCTTTACCTGAAAAAAAGTCAGGTTTCCATTAACCGGAAAGAATGTAGTAATATCCAGTTGACACTTAAGTAGTTGTGCACAAGTTTATGGAGAGTTAAGAATATTTTCAAAGTATTTTCTAACAAAATTGAAACTAAAAAAATAAAAGGAGTAGCCGCTACGAGGTGCATAGATCGAGTGGCGGGGTATTCTGCAATTGTGCCAATTGGGAGTTTGTGCCAATTGAAAATGTTTCTCAGTCCAAGACTTGTGTCTTTTCGACATTTTTGCAATGACTGACCTTCACTGAGATAATTTATGATGAAAAAAGTGGCGTCAGGATGCAACATGCTTTCCAAATAGTCCAACAATGACTGGCATGACTTCTTGAAGTTCTTTTTCTGACTTAAGTTATGTTGCCTTCATTATATAGGCCTAGCCTATGCAGATATGGTTGAAGATAAAAGCACTGGAAATATTCAACAATTAATAGTTTAGTAATGATACAAATCTGTTCCTTGCTCTATGGTTCAAGACAATCCAGAGTGTAGAGATTTTCTTCCCTTGCTCTGCACTTTCGTTTCCTATTGCCTCTGCACCGCAACTTGTGCATTATTTCAATGGGGTTTGCTGCGTAGGCTCATGTCGCGTCCTGTACAACCTACCCGAAGAATCCTTCATCAGATAGTACGGATCAGGATCGACGCTGGCCGGACTCAGAAAGGATTTTGAGGCCACCGGAGATCGCTGTCTCACCAAGGTAGGCATTTTGGTCGGAATTCCGCCGTATTTTGGGGAGGTGTCGTGCGCTGGTCTCTTCAAAGATGTCATTGTTTCTCAGCCAAAATTCCCCCGACCAAACGAATCGCCATTTTATTTTTCTGCGTTTAAAAAATATACGGCTGTTACGTGTTTTAACATTAAAATGCGTGATGTTCCCATTTTCTCGTACGTACATATGTACACGTGACTGTGGACTATATTCGAGTGCTTTTGTTATTGGGAACATAAAAGAGCCGTCGCATCGTAATTCAGTCAAAACAAGATGGCGGCGTACATGAAAGTTCGAGGGGTGTATTTGTCTTGAATAGTTTCGTCTCTGTCACTTCACGATAATTACACATCATGGGCCTGACATATCTCTTTCTGTATGGCTGTATCATTGCAGTTTGTATTCTCGTCCTGTCAAAGTGAGTTATCACATTGTTTTACTGCATTTTTTTCACTGACTGGCAAGCTGCCAATGCACTAAAGTAGCTCACAGACACAGTGCACCATGACTGAGTGCGCTGACATTATGACAGTGAGCAGCTTGTTGTGACAGGTAGGCCTAGCTCCATAAACATCTGTGGCGGTTGTGTGGTAACGGGCCCCCATTCCTAGTTGGCGATGTTTAAAACCAACTGAAACTAGTAGAATATTGTCGAAAGAGGGCATGTTTTGATTTATTTTTAGGCACTTAGGCAAAACAATCACGTCAAGACGAGGAGATGCTGCTTATCTTTATTGTTAATTCTTTGTCAAAATTGAATCAAGATCAGTTCCTAGCCACTGCTCACTAACAATGACGGTCTTGTGTCATACTCATAGAATGGCTCAACCACATCAAGGAAAGTGGAAGTGAAAAAGCATGACAAGCTAAAAAAAAAAAGGTGCATTCCATAAACAAAATCTTGGTGCGCTTTTACATGACAAAAAAGAACAAATTATTACAATTACTTAAAAGTAGTACAAAATTATCTAAAAATTTAAATACAATAAAATACAATAATCCTGTGCATTTCAAAATGAACGAAATTCCCTAGAGGAGCATGCAACAAAATGCTTAGTTACTGCTGACAAAGTGAGTGTAATTATGTGCTTATAATCCACGGACTTGGCACACGTATTTAATATGCACTGGAAGTTACTTCCCAAGTTACGTAGCATTATTGAATACATGGGTTGATCAATCTATGGCCCATCGCTGGACTTGGTACAGCAATGGTGGTGTTCAAAGGAAAGTCCTTGACTACATCTCATGTGACAGACCCATCTGTCTCTCCATCTGCATCCTCACGTGCCACCGTACATGGAGACCTGGCCAAGCGTGTCTCTCAGGCTTTGCTTTGCCGCCTGGTGCTGTGCTTTACCGCCATGTCCCATGTGCTGGGATTCCCTTAATTAACCCTAACCCACCTCACTCCTCCAAAATCCTCCTGGCGGTTGTGGAGGATTCTAGAGGATTGAGGATGAATGGTGATTGAATCAAATGAGGATTCTGGAGGATTGAGGATGAATAGTGATTGAAGCACATGAGGATTTTGGAGGATTGAGGATGAATGGTGATTGAAGCACAAGAGGATTTTGGAGGATTGAGGATGAATGCATTTTGAGGCAGGACTGTCTGATGATTTTGAAGGATTTGGCATTGGGTTATCCTTCATTTAAACACGAGTGCAAAATTTTGGGATGAGGAGGATTTTGGAGGATTGAGGATGAATGCATTTTGAGGCAGGACTGTCTGACAATTTTGAAAAATTTAGGCAGTTGCAAAATTTTGGAGGATTTTGCAGGATTGAGGATGGTTGTAAGCAACAAGGGCCTAGGGGGTTAGGGTTAATCCATAACTACACAGCTGAAGTCATTCAAACGTTTGACAGCTTCGGACTTACTGTACACCCCCGATCCACAACCCTTTAAGTGCCCTTTAATTTGATCGGTTTTGTTCTCACCATATCAAGTCTGTGTTTGGGGTGCCCAAGGTGCGACCCCACTCTCGGTGCCCGACCCCGTACTCCTTTCCAGCAAATGAGGCAACACAGTTCCTCATCACCCCGCTGACTATTGTAGATGAGGGGCACAACAAACTTGCTGCCGACATTGGTCTTGCTATGGATAACTACACCCTTCCTGGACACCTATCGCAACCGTAATGAAAGAGCTTTCCAGCAGAAAGACAGTGCCGTTTGTTCGTCCAGCATTCCTTCCCACGTGCTGTACTTTCTCGGGAGGTTGCCTTTTCGCAGCCCGTAGCTGGCCTAAGTCAACCCGCACTGTTTACAACAGCTGACTACGGCATTTCCATAAGTGGTGTCAAGGACATTCGGTGGATCCCCTTGTTACAACTCTGACTGAGGTTGGCGACTTTCTGCTCTACCTTTTCCAGTGTGGTCTTGCCATGCAGACTAAAAATTACTGCTCAGCGATTGCAGCTTTACCCCCCTTACACATCTACTCAAAGGCATGTTCTTATCATGCACCCCCCCCCCCTTGACACACCCTGCGTCTATTATGCCCTCAAGTGGTATATGCATCAGATGGCAACAATTCGTGGTGATTGTTAGGCCCTGCTCTTTACCATAGTGTCACCGCATCGTCCTGCCTCTGGCGATACAATCGCTAGCTGGATTGTGACTGCCATAAGTTCAGCGTAGACCAATTGGCTTGATCCTCCTGTCAGATTGCACACCCCTGAGGTCCACATTGTGTCCACCTCCTCTGCCTTCTTTAACCCTAACCCTCCAGGGTATTTTGGCTAGAATCCCTGCCAAACGCAGCAACATTTACAAGTCTTAGCCTGCTCAGTGTAGCAAAATCCATCAGGTCAAAATTCTCCAGGCCAAACTGCCTCAGAGTCTGTGGTTCCTGAACGCAGCAGGATACAACTGTGGCATTGTTCAATGGGACTAGCTCTCATCGTCACAGGAGCGGCCGTTTATGCACTGGTGTTGGTAGCTGAATGAACCAAAGAGCACCAGACTTTTCCACCTGATGCACTGTGTTGCGTCTGGCAGGGTTAGGGTTAATGGCATACCACTCAAAGATATGTAAGGAGCATGTTGGAAGTCTGCCAGCACCTTCACAACCTGCTACTTCAGGAACGTTCTGCAGTCTGAAGGCAAAACTGTTTGAGCTGCTCTCCTCCCTACTGCCCCAGCGGCACAATCTCTCCTTTGCTGGCACCCCAGAGTCCCGACCAATGAGGGCCTAATTCAGGTTTCCCTGGTTCTCTTTGGTGGGTATTCACCCTTATGGCTGATGCTTCCTTGCAGTCCGCCTTCCAGATCGTTCACATTCACGTTGTAAACTAGAACCCACCTGCCTTTAATTGTGCTACTCTGCATACATGTATTTAGTAGTGCTCTACAGGTAAGATGAGTGTGGTAAAAATTTGGTGCAAGTTTGCCGAAATGACTGGGAAGTTTAAACTTGGGATATTTCCAGGGATTGGATTGTTTTCCAATGCCACACAAGGTTGAACCCCGAGTCATACCTCTACTGAAGAAGATTTGACACAAACGTATCTGCACAATAAATCTATATCATACTATATCAATGACAGTTGTACACAGACTTGAAACGCGAAATTGTATTATACATGGAATATATGTATTGGTATGGCTGCATTTTTAATAACAGGACATTTTTTTTTCCTTTGTAGAATTTGTGCTGGTATTCTGTCCAAAGTACTGAGCCATCTCTTAAAGAAAGATGTGAGCATTGACTACATTGGCTTCTTCTCTCTCAAGAATGTCTCTGTACAGCTGCACAAAAGCAGTGTGGTAAGTGACATGTACATTTATATCACCTTAAAAAGAAAAATTGTTAAGAAAAAAAATGTACTAGGGGCAAAGTTGCAGCTGTGAAATGAATATCTTGGCGCACTATCACACCATAATTTGAAATATAAGTTTGTCACAATTGTTGTCACAATAGTCAAGTCCATCCTAAGTCCTCACAAATCAATCACAATTCCTCCAATCTCAAGTCAAGTCACAAGCCCTTCTAATGAACTGTTATAAGACGTTCCATTGGTCCCTGTTTAATACTTGAAACTGGACGCGTGATTTACTTCTAACCGGACTTGTGATGGACTTGCGACATCAGGTGCTTTTTATTATGCAAATCATAAGTTTTGAATCCACAGGGTGAATACTCCATTTTGTAAAAATTAAGCACTTTTAATATGTTCCTTATTGTAATTGATACCAATTTCAGTTGTTCTTGCTTCAAGGGATATTTGTATAGCTTTGCGTTTCTTAAGCATTTCTGAGAATGTTCTTGCAAATCTTAGGATAAAAATTTATTCAAAAACAAAAGCAAGAAGCCTTTTAGGTTGGAGGGGAGGCGAGGGCAGAACAAGACTTTTCTCAACAATTGTAGAGTTATTCATAAGATGCATTTGGTCGGGTGATCTAAATTGATATTAGGGTTTTTGCCCTTCACCCCGACGCATATTCATCTTGAGAATAGTTTAATTGCGGAACCCGCTGCTACATGTACATCAGGTTCAAACCAGCCAACCAATCCCGCACGCTTGGTGGTCGAGTGGTAAGACGTCCGCACTAGAAAGTAGGAGATTGTTGGTTTGAGTCCCACCCGAGTGATTTTTTTCCAACTTTCACTCAGGAGGTAAAACACTGAGAGATTAAAGTGTTTATACGTCGGTGAAGGGCAAAAAAACCTATTGCATTGTAAGAATCTTAAGTTTGATTTTTAACAAGAAATATTCCCTTTTGAGTTTTTGCATGCATATGAATAAATTGTTAAAATGTTATCACAGGTTCTTGATGACATTTGGATATCCTGGCGACTTTTCAACCCCAGCCAAAAGTAAGTTCCTAATCTTACCTGAACCCTTTCCTTTCCAAAGACCATTATATGGAATGAAATTCCTCCAAAAGTTATTCGCAAAGCATCTTCAGCCCAACTTAGAGGATTTCTAGTCAGCATTCTAAGATTCTGAGATTCCAGAAAACACTGCAATGTTTGGGGTTTATCATACTCGCAGCTCTACTGTTAAGGCACTGGCAGTCATCCACTAGTTCCTCGATTCTTCAAAGAAAAGATAAAATTGGAAAGAAACTGAAAACTGTTAGTATGAAGCCAAAACTCTGTATTTTTTAACAGTTAACAGGGACGAATTAAATGGAAACAACTTGAGAATAAAAAGGGGATGGACAGACGCGATAATCACAAAACAGCACAGAATACACAAATGTGCCAGCCCAATACATCCACCACCACAGCAACGTTTTTCAGAGACTCAGAATGAGGTTGTAATAATCATTTTAGATTATTATTTACATTCATATTCTTTTGTGTTTCATTGAAGCTACCGGATGGCATTGCACCTGGGTGACGTGAGGGTGCGTGCTGAAATGCAGAACGATCAAGAAAGAACTCCACAACCCGAGAGGGGTGAAAAATCTGTCAAGTCTGGTAGAAAAGGTTTGTTTTGATCACTGAAATCTAATCTCGAGAATGGTCATTCCATGAAAGTGGATCCTTAAGACTGATACAAAAGTTCAATTTATCAGTTTTTTCCCAATCACCAGAGTTATATTTTGCTGTTTTGTCTGTTCCTAGGATCATCATTCCTGAATTCCAGCTATTTCATATCAGGAATTCGGTTCCTTACAAAGGTAAGTTGGCTAAATGTTGTTAAGAAAAAGCGTTGTAGAAGGTTTTGTTGAGGTTTAGAAACATGTTTATCTGTGGAGTGATTTTGGAATATTATTCAGTGTGATAAATCTTTTGTAGCCTAATAATGGCACTGTTAACATGCTGGTACCTACCATTATTGGTACCTAAGGTACTGCATTGTTATTATCCTTGCTGATTTTGGGGGAGTGTGGCCTAATTGTAAGGGTTTGTGACTCAGGATCAGAGGGTCATGGGTTCGAATCCAGCTGCTGGCCATATGTTGTGTCCATGGGCAAGCCACTTTATCCCCACTTGCCTCTCTCCACTCAGGAGTATGAATGGGTACCGGCATTAGCTGGGGAGTAACCTGTGATGGACTAGCATCCCGTCCAGGGGGAATAGAAATATTCTCTGTCGTTTCATGCTACTGAAACCAGAGATAAACGCCGGCCTGATGGGCCACATTGGCTCGTGACAAACTTTACTATTTTGTCTATAAAAAAACCCTGGCCACTTCGTCTCCCTTGGGAATAAACAGCTGCTGCCATTTTGTCACAAATGGCTTAAAATGTAACAGTTACATTGTTATTTTTCATACGCAGATGATGTGTCTGAAAGTGGAAGCCTTGAACATCATGTTACTGAATGCTATGGGAACAGACTCATTACTGCATGTCACCATCAAGAACATATCACTGGCTGGCGCCGCACTCACAGAGCAGTAAGAATCCTTCAGTTGATCAACATGAAAAGCTGGACAAAAGCCCCGTATTTAGTTGAATGAGGTTCCCATCAAGAGTAAACACAATGTTCCAGAGGTTGCCAAATGCGGCGTTTCAAAATATTTACACTTGTTATATTTGAATGCTCTGTGTCAAAAAAGTCCACATAATGGCTGAAGTTCATAGAGAAAACATGGAAAAAACCTTGTTTCTTTAGTGCTGATATTTGCCTTGCCTTATTAAAGTGTTGTTAAGGAAAACAGGTTTTAAAACTCCACATGGGACGCACTTGAGGAGAAAGGGTTCCTATAGTTGTTCTTCGGACCTTTCTGCGGTCATCATAAGGACCACAATTTCTTGCTTTTACCATCAGCTTCCAGTTTTTTTTTTTTTTTTATTATGCAGAGTTATCGCGACTGATCTGGAAGTGCAGCAGATATCACTCCGAATGCTTCGCAGTGCTAACTCAGTGAGTAGAACCTGATATTAAAATAACAATTTTGATGATTCAGGGATCAGGATGAGGCATACCCCAAGACTATTTTTTTGGCAGAGGGATGCCATCGATGTTAATGTTTGTAACTCCTTATTTTTAATGTCTAACTTTAACTTGTATTTAACTTGATTGTACTGCGCCTATGAGCAAAATTGATTTGGATATATGGCGCTATATAAATGTCATTATTTATTATGTACAATGTGCCCCCTATTAAAGGCATGCCTCTCTCCAACACCCCCACCCCCACCCTTAAAAGAGTGGGTAGAAAGAAAGAAATCTTTGACCTTGTGGTTGGCAATCCCATTAAAAAAACACACCAAAAACCTTGTACTAACCCTGACCCTGCCAGATGCAACACAGTGCATCAGGTGGAAAAGTGTGGTGCACTTTGATGCATTCTACTGTCAACACCAGTGCATAAACGGCCACTTCTGAGACAATGAGAGCTAGTCCCATAGAACAATGCCTCAGCTGTACCCTGCTGCGTTTTGGGACCACAGACTCTGAGGCAGTTTGGCCTTGAGACTTTTTGCCTGATGGATCTTGCTGCACTGGTCAGGCTTGTCACATAAGCCCGGTTCATACTTCACGCGAATGCAAATGCGAAGCAAATGTGATGTCATGGCACGTTCGCTGCGAAATTCGCCATATTCAACTTTTATGAAGTCGCAGCACGAATACTTGCCATGACGTCACAAATTCACGTTCACTTTCGCTTTCGCGCCGAGTATGAACCGGGCTTTTGACAAGTGTTGCATGTTGCTGCGTTTGGCAGGGTTTCTAGCCAAAATACCCTGGAGGGTTAGGATTAATAAAAGATTTCTTCAATTTCACACAGGATGCAGGAGAGCAGTCCCACACCGCACAAGCCTCCACCAGCCTGAAAGTATCCCTGCAGCTGGACTTGATCCTGAAGAAAATCCTGGTAGGTGAACCCTGTAGAACATTGGAGTTTTAAAAAAATTTTAAGAAAATGTCTGAGAAATTAAAGATATAGTCCATCATTTGTAATTTGTGCATTTTGTTCGTTTGAAGCAACAAAAGTGTTCAAAATCTAATGAAGGATACTGAACAACTAACCTGATGAGGTTTTAGCTCAGCTTCAGCTGTATATTCCGAGAAAAACAGCATTCTAGGATCTCAATTTCAAATCAAAAGTTGCTGAATCATGTTTTGAATTGGGCCTGAATTCAGCGTCCGAGATGCGTTCTCACTGAGTCGATTGCAGCTGTACGCGATGTCGCGCACTGATCCGACGAATTATAGCAACCGCGCACGCGTGTGCGTCGTGCCAATGCTTGCGCGCGCTTCGCCGAATAACAAGACGCACCGTTGGAAAGGCCTTCTTTCGTTGATTACTTCAAAATGACAGCTTGCCAGAAAGAATAATTTCACAGGGAGTTTAGTCCCCTTACTATCTTTCAACCAAGTATGTTTTTCAACAATACTTACGCCAGTTACTTTTCAGATGGCTGCAAATGATGGACTATAGCTTTAAGGCTTTGAATATCGTTGTGGTAGTGGAGTTACATGTGCTTGTGATGGGTCACATGTCATTTATTACCGTGAGTGATTTTTTGTTTGTTTTTTTTGCAGGGTATTTCTGTCAATGTTGGAAGCCCAAGAGTGTCATTACTAGATGGTAAGTTATTACTAGAAACTCTTTGGAGACATCGTTTCATTTTTTCTTGTTAACGATATAGCTTGTTGGATTTTGGTGGATTGGGTAGGATTTGTTGAGTCTTTCATCTTCTTCATCAGCAATTATTTTCCCTGCAGGTTTCATGACACAGATTCTTCCAACATTTCCCAGGAAGACAGCACCTAGTGGTGAGTTTTCCCCATAGCATTGAAAGATTCCTTTTGGGCAATTCTATGGTTACTCACGTTACATTTTTTGATGTACCTTTGAGTTTCCTTGGGCTGTAATTACCTTACTGAAAAGGTTTAATAACCCATGGTAGATAGAGTAGACCTAGACCTACCTACATGTAAGCACCAAAGATGACATCCAGAAAAATGTGTTATGTACGATAAACAAGACGCACAAAATCGGTTACTGATGTTACGAAAATGTAACGTGAGTAACCATGGAATTGCCCATTTACTTATTGATGTGCTGAAACATAATTGGACCTGTTTATCCCAACCCCAAATGCAAAAAAAAAATAATCATAATTTTAGTGTCATTGCACCAACAGTAGAGCTGCTACAACTCGTTAGATTTGGGGTTGTAGTTTAGCACCAGTAATAGATACATTGCACTCTAGTCTCTAGTGGAAAAATCTGGTGTTCGAGTTGTTGATATTTTGGATCCAGTAACAATTTGTTCAAGCAACAGTTGTATACACTTAATCAGAAGTGTGAAAAGTAAAAAAATCTTGAGAAAGATAAAACCTTTCCATGGAAACCTGCCGGAGTCTTGTCTAAGCTGAAGTTATTTTTGAGCTGATGATTATCAGTGAAAACAAAGTGCCCAAAATACTCCTGGTTTTAAATCTGATCATTTCTTTTTCAAAAAAGCATTAAACGACAACTTTTTTTTGGTATGTATGTCAACCTGAGTACGTAAACTTGGACTTGGGAACTTGCCAGATAGTATTGATTGAAAAACTTAATTCAAATACCAGAGATACCCTATTACTTAGAATTTCTTTTTCAAAACATGATTGATTTGAAAATTAACATTTTGGTAGACCCACAAGAGCATAGAGAGCTACAGCAGCAGAAACCTTTTGAAGAAAAACTCAGAGCTGTTATACAAAAACTACCGAGGGTGAGTAGTTAGTCACAGTTGATTTTAATAAAGAACATATTATAAAAGGTACCGGTACTTAACCCTAACAGAACTCAACCCATCAAACCCCAACAGCATGTTTTGTTGGAATCTGTCGGGATGGGTACAGTACCCCTAAACTGACAGTCTTTTACATTGGGTTGGCACACTTCCAGAAAATAAGTCAGAAATATGTGTGTGCAGTTTCCCATATATTGTTGGAATTTGCCAGGATGGGTATGGTTCCTAGTAAATCATGCCAGGGAGTTAGGGTTAATATGATGGGGATAGTGATTTTATTCATGGTGGTGACTGCGCTAAGTGTGGTGATGGTAGTGATGATTGTGGTGATGGTGATTATGATTGTGACGGTGAATATGATTCTGATGATAAAGGTGATAATGATGATGAGATGATGGTGGTGGTGGTAATAATTCTGGTGATTGTGGTCATGGTAGTGATGGAGCATTGAAATAGTGCTATGAGCAGCCTTTGTGCTTTTACTCGCACCTAAGTTTTGATGTACAGCACCGTACTTGTTTGCACCACACCGATTGTGAGTTCACAGTCACCCTTCCAGTTTAGCTCAGAGAGCTGCTATAGGATGTCAACTACTGAAGACTGAAGGCCATTGGTGCCAAGATGCCACAATGTCTGTGCCATTGACTTGATAGTTGGTTGCATGCACTCCACAATGCACTGGTATTCAAACTAAAAAAATCAAGCATGCTAAAGTCCTCTTCACTGCCAGTCATGAGTTTCCAAACACTGTCATCTGCATTGAGACTATCATTAAAAGTAATTGTAGTTATCAATTTGCATTTAGTATCTAAGTCTTTAATATTTGTATCGCAGGATGCCAAGTTACAGATTGACGATATTGACTGCCAAGTTATGATCCAGAGTGAACAAAGGTTTGTGCTAATGAAGTTTTTTCCCTCGTACCATCACATGGGCTCCGAAATGCCCTAGATTTTCATAGATATTCTCCTTAGTCATTATATCCAATATAGTGACCAGGTATACATATTTTCCTCATGTAATATCTGCAACAAAAAGGTCATAATCTTTCATAAATATTCCCCGTAGTCATATTCCTTGTGACAAAGAGTCACAATTTTGAATAGATTGTACACTACCTAGGTAGTAAGGGTGGCGGATGATACATTATCACTTGATGACACCAGGTCATTTGACCGGTAGCCAGCCTTTTTAATTTAGATGTGAATTATGGATAACCTTCCTAGCAACCTGCCATAGAGCAGTCTTGTAAAATTTGTTTTGCTTTGTTTTGCTTTGTTTTGCTTTGTTGTTCGGTAAAGGCAATAAACAAAATTTCCTGATTTTTAATTTTGTTTTTATTTATAACACTATTTACACAATTGTATTATCAGGCGCCTAACTTTAACAACCAAGCAGCTCTTAGTAACCGCTGATGTCGACAGTGACAAGCTGATATCATGCACCAAGACCAAAGATCTCTTGTTGCCAGGAATCTCCTGCTTGCTCAAGCTTACAGGTAAATATATGCATAATTTTGCATAATTATGCATAATTTTGCATAACTCGGCATAAATTTAAACAGTTGCTTTCTCTTGTACACATTGCATTCCCTTGCAAAGTAAGTTTTGTTTTATTGAGAAATGAATTTCCCCACTCAATTAAATCTTGGAAGTGTATAGGCGATTTTTCAAAAAAGGGCTCATTTAGGGCAAGAAGAGGCATTTTTTAGTAGAAGTTGGTAACATAGCTATGGTACCTATTTCGGGGGTGCTCAATCCGAAAATTATGGTTACCAAGCTGGATTTTTTTCGGATCATTTTCGGATTCAGCACCCCGAAATTAGGTAAAATAGCTATGTTACCAACTTCTACTCGCAAATGCCTCTTCGTGTAAAATATCGCCTAGTCTATAGTGTTTTGTTTAGTAAACTCAATATTAGTACTAAGAATGTTCAAGCCAGGATTATTGAACTGTGTGGAATTAATCAAATGGGTTGGGTGTAGTTTGTTGACAAGAACATTATGTTAGTCAAAATTATAAAAGTTTTTCATGTTTTACCTTGTATTTGATACCTGTTCAGATGTTCAGATGAATAATATGCAATCTCTGAAGCTACTTTCACTGAATGACATATCCGTGTCACTACAGGTGAGACGTTTGCTTTTAACTTTGCCTACTTAATCGGCTAATGAAATTATATAATGTAATAATATTTCTTTTGGATGCTTTTGACTTTTTATCATGACATGGCAAATGAACATGGCACCCATGGCACGGTGATAAAACTACCGCACATAAAATTAAATAACATGCTTATGAGTTGTCGGCCTTGTGTATCTTTAACAAGTGATGGCAGAGAAAAGCCACTGTACAAGGTGAGTAAAAAAAAACGAAACCCAAATGTCGGGACTGTTGTTTTATTGAAGTTCTGCAAGTAGCACTTTCAAAATCTAGGACATGAAAGCCCAATTCATAAGCTTTCTTTTAGTACAAGAATCATGCACTTTTCAAATTACGGAATTCTAAACACAACCACCATTTTAAAGTTCTGTCCACGGATCACAAAAAAAGTGTGTGTTCTTTCAACAAAACGAACACAATTCACACACATCCCTATGTGATTTGTTTTCCTTTTGCTGAAAGAACACTGAACTTGTTTGTGATCCGTGGACAGAACCTTAAAACGTTGGTTGTGTTTAAAATTCTGTAACTTGAAAAGTACATGATCGATTTGAGTGATTCTTGTACTAAAAGAAAGCTTATGAATTGGGCTTTCATATCCTAGATTTTGAAAGTGCTACATGCAGAACTCCACTAAAACAATGGTCCCAAAATTTGGGTTTCATTTTTTTTTACTCACCCTGTAGTACAGTATTCTTTCAGCTGCAGCAGCAGCAGTAGTGTATGGAATATCCTCTTGCACAGCAAGAGTCTATGATATGCAAGCAGATTCGGCGTCTAATTTTGCAAAACAAGACTGCGTCTTGACCTCGATATTCTGACCATTCAGCGGGCGCCGTCTGTCGGGTCTTCCGTAATCCGTTGTTGGATTACCAAAACGTAGCAGCCAAATTGACCAATCAACAGCTTAGTCCACATTTCTGATCGAAATGACGTCACACTTTCTAAAGCCGACTCTGAATGGCTGGCGTATGGGGTTGCATAAAATTTGCATTGCTCACATGTATCAGACACTGGTTATGCTAATGGAGTCTTATATAGCGCACGTATTTACCAACAATTAGGTACTCAAGGCGCTGGAAATTATGTCAAGTATTAAAGAAAGGTAAATAAAGTTTATGAGAAATATGAGACCCATTATGTAGCACCTTATAATGGTTTACAAGGTGCTGCGGCGCACATTGCAGCCACTGCCAGAAACACCGGGGCAAACCCCTTCTCTTAGCGATGTGTAACTGGGTTCTTTAACGTGCATTACACAACACACGGGACCTACGGCTTTACGTCCCATCCAAAGGACGAAGCAATAATGGTAAAGTGCCTTGCTCAAAAGCACAAGCACCATGTTCCCACGGTCAGGATTCGAACCCATACACCACGGCACACGATTTGAACACCGTAACCATTGGACCACAGCGCCCCACATGGTTATGAATAGGGCTTCGTTTGATAACGGTTGAGGCTACAGCAGTAGCATACAGATATCATCTTTGGTGTTCCACTCACATAAAGTTGAAAATCTGTTTGTTCCACAATCTTTATGTTTGCCTCACCTTTCCTGTATCTTGGTCTTGGTTGGTTCTTCTCCTAAGGACTCCGCAGGGGGGCAAACCCCTTCTCTTAATAGTGATAAGTGTTACTGGGTTCTTTTACGTGCATTGCAATTAACACATGGGACCTACGGCTTAACGTCCCATCCGAAGGACGAAGCTATAATGGTTAAGTGCCTTGTCTTGTCTTGTCTTGATGAATACTGCACTGACACCCCTTCTCAGGGGTCACACAGCAGGGTATACACATCCTTCCTGCCAGAAACACCGGGGCAAACCCCTTCTCTTAGCGATAAGCGTTTCTGGGTTCTTTTACGTGCATTAGGCCTTATACAACACACGGGACCTACAGCTTTGCGTCCCATCCGAAGGACGAAGCAATAATGGTTAAGTGCCTTGCTTAAGGGCACAAGTGTCCGCGCCCGAGCTCGAACCCACGTCACTGTTGCCTCTGAAACACCAGAGCATGGGTCCTGTGCTCTTAACCGCTAGGCCATCACACTCCACAATTGGAGTGCTTAAGGGCACAAGTGTCCACCCGGTGGGCTCGAACCCACGCGACTGTTGCCTCTGAAACACCAGAGCATGAGTCCAGTGCTCTTAACTGCCAGGCCACGACACTCCACTCATTTATTGTTACATTTTCTTTCATTGATAGCTACGTGAGACTGGTGTATACTCAGACCTGGCCCTGAGGCATTGTCATGTCCTCTACCATGACGAAGAGATGATGTTTTGGTTGACAACCATCCAGGAACAAATAAAACAGCGCAAGGCAAGACAGGGAATTGTTATCCCTACAAGACCCACAATTGTCAGCCATCCAGAACCTCCAAAAGCATCGTGAGTTTTGATTCCTTTCTAAACACATGAGCACCTGTACTACATTGTGTTACATTGTATTTATTCTCCGATGAATCCATGAAACTATAGACAAATCCGGCAGCAGCCATTTTCTGCGGTGGCACCAGGCTTGCGTGAGTCGCGCTCAGGTAGTACGCACGCACTCCGGCTCCTTCAACCAATAGGGTTACCAAGATGCACGCATGCCTCGTCTTAAAGAAAGAGTGCAGCATGTGCACGAGCGTGGCACCAGACTCGTGTGAGTCGCGCTCAGGTAGTGCACACGCACTCTGGGCTCCTTCCACAAATAGGAATACCAAAATGTGTGTGTGTACCTCATCTTTAAAGAGGTTGTGGAATGCTCGAAGAAATTTCCGTCATTTTTCGGGTATATGTAGCCTAAGGTGTGATGAAATAAAAACGACTATTGTGTCTGTCATGAAATGAGTACAAAGGGTACTTTTGAGAGCTGTTTTTCAGGTCCTGTTTCGACCCGAACGTGCAATTTGTGTAAAAGTTGTCGTTGGGGGCAGCAAACAAAACATAGTAAATCGTGACGTAATAAACAGAACTCGGGAGTCTGTCATTCATGACAGACACAATAGTCGTTTTTATTTCATCACACCTTAGGCTACATATACCCGAAAAATGACGGAAATGTCTTCGAGCATTCCACAACCTCTTTAGGAATGCGTGGAACATGCGTGTGAGCTTGACACCACCACAGTAAAAGCTTCTAATTCTGATCGCCGGATTCCACTACATGTATACAATGCAGGGTCATTTCAGGGTGGTACGAGTAACAGGCAGGGCAGTTTGGGGTAGTACGTAAAGGGAATTGTGACTTGTTTCTCATCTAGTTTTTTCAAGCTGGTGTAGACGAGCCATATCAAAGCTGTGGGTTGACTTCAATATTGCGCAAAGTGATGCACCATTTACAGTCTGCAATTTCCTAAACTAAACATCATTTTTTTCATTATTGAGTTGAAAAAAGAATTGACTAGGGCAAGATTAGAACCTTTGACCTCCAGAATACCATACCAAAGCTTCACGATCTGCAGCTCCAGCTTAAGACCCAGTTTCGGCCTTTGACCCAGCTTAACTGTTGGTTTTAACCAACTTGAGAATTTTGACAAACTTTGAGTTTCTGACCCAGCTTAGGTTTCTTTCAACATGTTCAACCGAAATAAGTTCCGCTTCATCTTTTGACATAGTTTTAGTTTTGTAGCCCAGCTTGAGTTGTATTCTTTTCTACCTATTGAGCAGTTTGACCTAGTTTTTGTTTTATCATACCGGTTGGTTTCATTCCACTGTCTGTAGTGCCATGTCTTTTTTTCCAACAGTGAAATTAAAATGAATGTAAAGCCCTGCGTTCAAAATGATGCACTGGTCACTTCTAAGGTTTGGATAGTGTCAAATGCTTATGGGAAGGATATTTTGAATTCACACTTTAAAGTAGAGTATTTGCAAAATATAAAAGCAATTTAAATAGTTGGCAATATAGCCTCATTTAGTACATGTAGTTTGCAGTAAATAATGTGATTTAGTGCATGAACTAAATGTCATTTCGTTCTTTGATTTGTTCCGTGATCTTTTACTTTTTCTATTGATTTATGATTTCAGAGGCACATCAAGTCTCCTCCAGGAGTTCACTTTGCCCTTTGACCTGACCCTTGACCTGAGTGACATGTCAGGTCACATGACATGGCCCAATGCTCCTGACTGTGCTGTTACCATAGCAACATTGAAGACTGGCACAAGAATCACATCGGATTCAGGTATGGAAATCAAACTTGCACCGCTCGTATTTCTTAACGTTTTAGTCATACATTCACTGTATTTTCAAATTGTCAACCATAAAATTATTTGTTTTAATACCCAAACTTTTTGTCCAATTAAATTTGTGAGCAACAATATTAAAACGAGAATGGGTATTTTTTGCAACTTTTTTGAAAAAAAAATTGGATTTCTCTGAGTAGTCGAAATTGCCCAAAATACCTACAGTCGAACACCTTGATAACAAGGTCCTTGGGACTTTACAAATTATACTGTTAAACTTGCTTGTTTTTAATTTTATTTAGTAGAAATTTTTGCTTTTGTGAAATATAAAAAACCTTATGATTAGGCCCCCCCCAAAAAAGTCTCCGGTCTCTGGTATGCGCGCGCGTCGCCGTAGCCATGCGTGTCGGCAAAATGAAAAAGTTTTTTTTTCAATGAAAGATGATGTCTCAAAACCGCCAAACTCACTGGTTTGACTGGAATCCTGCTGCTGCACAATTTTAATGTGTTTTTAGATTGGGTTATGGTCGAGAATAAGCTTTATGTGGCCTCTCTGGACTCCTATATATTTGCACTAAGTTTAGTCGGGCACCATTTGCAGTCATCAGCCAACATTTGAAGCAAAAAAATCACGTAAATAAAAAAAAAAAGCCGCGTCGCCGCACCACTTTTTGGGCAAGCTCCATACCAGAAACCGGAGACTTTTTTTTGGGCCTTAGTACCCTTTTAAATTCTGTAAGCATCACTTTCAATCTGCAAAATTAAAAGTAAAATCCTGATATTGATTATTTCTTAGTCTGTAGCTGAGAAAACAAATTATCAAAATTTCAATTTTGTTTTTTTAGGATCAACTCCAAAGAAGCCACTCAGATATATTAGGTAAGTGATCTGCTTTTACTACTTGGGGGGTCAAATGAATCTTTAACTCTAACCTTCCCAAATCCTTTTGGCACAAGTGGGGGATTTTGAAGGATTGAGGCTGTATGGCAAAAGTGTTTACTTGATTTTGTAGGATGCGTTGTACCAAGGTCAAGGCTGTACCTTGTGTTGTTTATGGTCATCTAGACTACTTCTTTTTATTCATTGTACACTGTGTCAAAGATTTTTAAATGTTAAAGGATAATTTGGATTTTTAAACTTCCTCATCCTAATATCCCAAATTATATTCCAAATTTTACTGTGGATTCTTATTCCCTTCCCGAATAATGTAGCCTTTCCCTTCCCACCATATGTCCTTTTCCCCTACCACTCACCAAATTTCTTACTGCATCTTAATGTGTTAAACATGTAATTGTTGATTTGCTATTTTATCAATTTTGGGGTCTTAAAATTAGCTTTATAGTATAATTGTAATGATTACTTTTTAGTATTTTTAAATTAACCCTAACGTACCTAAATCCATCAAAATCCACCCCCCTGTTTCGGGGGATTTCGGCGGATTCAGGATACCTCCATATTGTACAAACTGGGGGATTTTGATGAACTCAGGATTCGAAGCCTAGCGGAACTGGCAGATTTTGATGGATTCAGGATACCTCCATTTTGAGCTATTGGGGGACTTTGATGGATTCAGGATCTCAACAGTTTAACTCTTTGCAATGTTTGTGGTCAAGTAAATACTGCTGGCACTAGCCCTGCCAAGTCTGTCACATACTGTACAAACATGTACACACATGTACTGGGTGGACTTGCATGGAGGGTCACGTGCTGGAGGAAAGATACAAATAATGCGCGAAAACGTGACGAACGCAATGCTGTTTACGCGCAAAGAACACCATGTGCATCGCTAATAATTATGTGTGCGCATCGCGTAAATACTCGTTGCGCATTTCTTGCTTCGCGCGTGTTGAGCTAGGTCACGTGCTGGAGGAAAGATACATTTAGCTCCATTACTTTACCTTAATTTGTTGCGCGTCTATGAGAGACAACCAAAATGGCAGAGATTTATCGCACAGTGACTGGGCGCGTGTGGACGCAATGCCGATCTAGTCTTTTCATGCTGGGGTCGCCATGCATTGGTGTATTTTGATGGATCCTATGCAACAACACACATCACAATTTTCATGCGAGCATGGTATCCTGAATCCGTCAAAATCCACCAGAAATTTAGGTGATGGATTTTGAAGACTCTATGGAAAAACATGCTGTATGTTTTTTTATGCCACCATGGTATCCTGAATCCGCCAGAATCCATCAAGACTTTTGCTGGTGGATTCTGGCGGATTCAGGATACCTCCAGAATCTACACTGGGGGATTCTGATGGATTCAGGATACCAGTATTTTTTGCATGACAAAATTGGTGGATTTTGGCGGATTCAGGATACTTTCTAGTAAAAGAGCCCCAGGAGTTAGGGTTAATGCATTATATATTGTTACAGCTTCACACGATTCCGCTATAGGTGGCGAGAAAGCTGATTTAATAAACCATTTAAGAATGAATGAATGATAATCATCCGCACTGCCTCAATGTAACCGTGATTGTCGGAGGATTTTGAAGGATTGAGGCAGTGATCACCCTTCCAATGAACACATTCATTTACTTTATTTCTCTGGAGAAACAGTAAAAACCAACACATACAAATTAAAGGACAACAACAGAAAACAAGAACCTAACAGCTCTTGAAGGATCGCCCTAAAGAGACAAAAGTCTTTGTCGAGGGGCTCTCCTGACTAAAAGGAGAAATAACAGATGATTTTGGAGGATTGAGGCTGTATGCAATTTTTACATGGAGGTAGTTGGAGGATTTTGCATCCCAGCAATGAACACTGAAGTTACAAAATCTAAACGAATCTTCATCCACTATACTCGAATTTGATACATTTCCATAAACATGGAAGTAGATTCCAAGTTTCTGAAATAATTCACCCATCGTGTCACAATCTACAAAATCCTCCAGCAGGCATTGTCTATATGTGTCTATGGTTTGATAGTTAGGTTTTGATTGTTTGCTTTTAACTAAAGCTACATGTATTTGTCAACAATGAATATTGTTCAAGTTGAAATGCTTATCTTTTTTAGAAATAAATAAGAGTGTGATATACAGCGTGTGTCAATAAAAACGCAGGATTCAAAGCGATTTTTTTTTCTGAGAAAATTATGCTACTGGTGTGCCTAATTTGATAAGGATTTGATTGTCCATAATTTCATCTTTGACAAGATTTTTGTTTGGTGGAATTTGGACTTTTGGTTCAAAAGTTATGACAAGTTTTGTGAAGCCCTTCTGAAGCGGGTTGGTCTGATTCAATGACCTTAACACAACGACCAGTTATGTACAATGCAGGTATGCATTGAAGACAATTAAACCAGAACAAAACTTTCTTTGAAACAACTGATGATAAGTATCACTTAAATTTAATAACTGGACTATCATTGTTTCAAAGCATCATGAATTATTGACTAATAACATTGATTGTGGACTAAAGGATTATGTAAGCCTAATCCTGCCACACATGTCCTTCTTTGTGATCCACAAATACTTTCACCTGTACTGAATTCAAACCTTTCATTAGGTATGTGTGATTTCACAAATCAGACCAGCTTGGAATTTATAACCCTTCTTCAATGTACTCTATCTCTGGACAGGATTGTCCAAATGAGATGGGATAAAAAGCATAGTGAAGAGAAGGAAAGGTACTTTGAAAAGAAGGTTAACATTATGATGAATAGGGGTGGTTTATATTCTTAATATTTTTGTTTCTAATCCTGCGTTTTTATTGACACACGCTGTAGTTTATTGAGATCATCTTCCTCATTATTCAAAGGTGCAATATGCAAGGAGATCGTATCTTCTGTCAGGTTGGTGATGCTGTCCGTACTCCCAATGGAGTCACGATGTCCTCCAGACACACATGGGGCACACCATTAGCCATCAACAACATCAAAATGAAGGTACACAATAAAGAAACGCTTTCTTAGCTGTTTAAGTATACACACCAAAACAGCTATTGATTTTTGCCATTTTGTTTCCTTTTTTTTTAAATTCTTCTTTTTCCATTTAACATAGGATTTGAAATGTTGTAAATACATAGTCACCAATATGTTATACATGGAAATGAATATGACGTCATCATGTGAGTTTGATTGATTTCTAAATTTCGTTAATTTATAAACACCAAATTCACTTCTACACAGCCCAATATGTTTTGGAACCATTTATGTACATCAGCCTTGGATGAAACTCCTTCATGACAGATGTCACTAAAACAATTGTCAAAACAGCTATATGTTCACAACCAAAATTCTAGTTTTTACCCGATATTCATACATTCCGGGGACATGCGTTTAACTTGTTCCTATTGGTCGAGAGCCTGTCACGTGGTTGGTTCAAAACACCAGTGGTGGTGCTTAAACATCCGTTTCTACACTGCTGAGAGATGTTTTGCAACTGTTTACGCAACCCAGCACACTGTGCCAAGTTCACACAGTACGTACAGCATGGACAACACGAACTGATAGTACATTCTTTAAACAGTTGCCTGAGTACTTACGTGACTTCTTGGTACGCGCACCTTTAAAATGACCTGAACATGGATAGCAATAATGGTATGACAAATATCATTGGAAGTTTGTCAATTAGTCAATTTTTGTATGGTTGTTGACCGAAAAGGTCAAAATGACTTGGGCCTTTATTGATAACAAGGTCCCTTACCAGTTTTAAAGCCCATAATTTATATTCTACCCACCTAGGATCATTTTGCACGGGGGTTACTGTAAAGACATTATTTTTGTCTCTTTTTTTTTTGCCAAACAACACCCAAATGAACTTCTAAAACTTCACTTTTGTTTGAATGTTCTCTATTTCTTCCTCAGGTGAATTTCACACCTTACTCTATTGACGTGGACGGTGCAGTGAACTCCTTACAGCTTGAGTCTTGTCTGGAGCTACACTCCGTCGTGGAGCACATCTTAAAGGTCACTCGGGGTCAGGAGGTCAAAGGTCAAGGCTCGGAGAGGCAGAAGGTCACTGTGGAGGCTGGATTAGGTCCCAAGCACCGGACCCAGAGAGTCAATTTGAGACTTAGCGACTTCAATGCCTTCGTCTGCAGTGACTTGAAAGGTATAAACATCCAACTCTCAGAATTTTGCCTTTTAAATTGGAAACTTTGCCTTTTAAAGCTGGAAACTTTGCCTTTTAAAGCTGGAAACTGTGCATTTTGAAAGCTGGAAACTTTGCTTTTTAAAGCTTGAGACTTTTCCTTTTAAAATTGGAAACTTTGCCTTTTAAAATTGAAAACTTTGCCTTTTAAAGTTGGAAACTTTGCCTTTTAAAGCTGGAAACTTTGCCTTTTAAAGCTGAAAACTTTGCCTTTTAAAGCTGGAAACTTTGCCTTTTAAAGCTGGAAACTTTGCTTTTTAAAGCTGGAAACTTTTCCTTTGGAAAACTGGAAACTTTTCTTTTTAAAGCTGACAACTTTGCCTTTTAAAGTTGGAAACTTTGCCTTTTAAAGCTGGAAACTTTGCCTTTTAAAGCTGGAAACTGTGCCTTTTAAAGCTGCAAACTTTGCCTTTCAAAGCTGGAAACTTTGCCTTTTTAAAAGCTGGAAGCTTTGCCTTTTAAAGCTGGAAACTTTGCCTTTTAAAGCTGGAAACTTTGCCTTTCAAAGCTGGAAACTGTGCCTTTCAAAGCTGGAAACTTTGCCTTTTAAAGCCTGAAACTTTGTTTCTCAAAACTTTGCCCTTTAAAGCTGGAAACTTGAATTTAAATTTAATCCTTGGAGAAACAGTAGTACAGTTTAAACAACAACTGGCGATGATATCTTAAATCAATTTAAAGAAAACTCAGAAAACAAGCAAAAAGTGATTTTGATAAAGATTATTTCAAGTTGATGAAAACTTAGTATTTGGTAAAAATGCAAAACGCTTCTTTATGCAGTTGAGCCACAAAAAGTTCAGATCAAATTTGTATTTTGCATGTAGCATTAAAGAAAAACAGAGATTAACCTAAACCCCCAGGCCCTTTTTGCTAGGAATCATCCAAAATCCTCCAAAATCCTCCAAATTTTGCACTTGTAAATGTTCACATGAAGGATACCCACTGCCTCAATCCTTCAAAATCCTCCAACAGCCCTGCCTCTCAAAATGAATTCATCCTCAATCCCCCAAAATCCTCCTCTTCTTCAAACACCATTCATCCTCTATCCTCCAAAATAAACCAGTACTGAACGTCAATGTGCCCACAATCCATCAAAAGTGTATGTTGCATTCAGCCTCGATCCTCCAAAACTGCCCGGAGGACTTTAGAGTGTTGAAGAGGGTTAAGGTTATAGCAAATAGAAGCTAGAGCTATAAACGCTTATAACAAGCAATTAACAAATAAGCTCAGTTTGTCAGTGGCTTTCGATGACTATGATATCTATAGCAAAAGTTTTACTGGATATCCAATGAGAAGTACTGTAATACCACGCAAGAATTTGATGACAAAGACAGCTAAAACATGAGTTTTATTCATTTACGTCCTCATGACAAGATGCCAAAGCGCTGTTGTATTTCATCAGCCTGGAAAAGGAAGTTTAAAAATAAAAATGAAATATCCAACTTGTTGACGATGAATTGGTTGATTGAGCTTGCAAGTATTAAAATGGATGAAATTTTTTCATCCGTGTGAATATTTGGTCAAGCCACTATTTTGTACACTTGCATTTTAACACTGTTTAAATATTATGTTCACGTACATAAAGAGTTTTTGTTTTTATTAAAATTTGTTAACAGAACGCATCATGTTAAGAGTTGACAGCGTGGAGGTTGACTCGGAGTCTGAAGGGAACTCAACTGCAGTCGTCATGGGAACCAAGTTACTTGTAGTTACAAAAGACAGCAAGGTATAAATGAAATTATAAATGAAAAGACAACAATCAAAACAAATACTACTAGGGCCCCTTACAAATTTGTTTGACATGAGGTATGAAAGTAAACCATTAACCCTAACCCCCTTGAGTGATTTACTAGGAACCTTCCTCACTCCTGCAAATTCCAACACCAAATGTTAACTCAACACCCAAACTGTTGGACTCTGATTATGGTGGTATGCCTGACCCCATGTAAAGCATAATCAGTTTACTAGTGCAGTCCTCACTCCAACAGATTCCAACAAACCCTTGTGTTGTTGTATGACTAGATGGGGATTGTTAGGGTTAAAAAAGTTGAAACTGGCATAAAATTGGTTGTTGTTTTCTTTCAATCCAGGCAGCTTCAGTAACAAACTGTCATTCTTTCAGGTCATTGATTGTGTAGCGTACATGTCACTTCCTGAAGCAATACTTGATGTGACTCTGATCAACCTGAAATATACAGCAGCATCAAAGGTAAGACATCCAGCCAGTTCTACACTGCCCTCTTAGAGTTGTGATAACAGAATTCCATGGGAGACCAAATTACGATCGCTTTTTTTTGAGCAGACAGACAAAACTTTGAAACCCTATCAAAGATTTTGACATCGGGGAATATTTTCCGGAATTCGCAGCTCGCTATACCTGATCCCGATGGTTAAAGGTGGCGAAACCAACAAGGAACCTGTGGGTGCCGATTGCGTGTGTTCAAATAAATTTCCTCTTTACAAAAAAAAAATGCTAAAGTGAACAATTTTCCAGCCTAAATGTGATTGAGGTGTATTGCTTTCTCAAAGATCTTGTCTATTCTTGCACATATTCAAAGTCAACTCACATTTGTAAAATCACAGCAAGTGTGTGAACAGCCAAAGTTTATCAAATGTCTTCACTTGCAAACTGTGCTGCATATACAGGGTGAGTAAAAAAAACAAACCCAAATGTCAGGACTATTGTTTTAGTGAAGTTCTGCATGTAGCACTTTCAAAATCTAAGAGATGAAAGCCCAATTCATGTGCTTTCTTTTAGTACAAGAATCATTCAAATCACTCATGTACTTTTCAAGTTATGGAAGTTTAAACACAACCACCGTTTTAAAGTACTATCCACGAATCACAAAAAGTTCAGTGTTCTTTCAGCAAAACGAAAACAAATCACATAGGGATATGTGTGAATTGTTTTGGTTTTGCTGAAAGAACGCACACTTTTTTGCACTTCATGATGTCAAAATACTTTCGCATCAATATTTGCATTCATGCGAAGTATGAACCGTCCCTATATTGCTTTGCTTGTAACTTATGGCTCAGCCATATTTTCTACCTGTTCCTAGAAATGAAACTTTCTGCCAATTCCCCCACCATCCTACCACACTGGTATGCCATTCAACAGTACCAGCTTCCAATACAGAAAGTGAATAATCATGTGTTAGTAATTGTTTTGCAAGGCTTTATGAATAAACATGCAAGAGCCTTCTTGTGATATTTCAGAAACACAAAGGGGTCGTTATTTGGTTTGGGTAAATTTGGGTAAATTCTAACGAGTTTAACAAAACCAAAAAGCACTTTCCTAATGTGACCACCAGATCTCAAAAAGGCCAATGGGTTGAGACATTTTAGATCAGTTAGCCTTGAACCTTTTTCCTTTTTCTGGTATGTGACAGACATTGAATGCTGTGATTGAGGAGACCTGTTGTGCCCGCTGGAATACCACGAATCACATGACCATGTACCATCACATCAAAGAGGTTGCCTTGTTTGGCCTGAAGGTCAAAGGTGAACACTTGTAACAATTGATGTGCAGAATTAACGCCTTTCTTTTCCTTTGATTTCTATTTGTGACATACCTTCAAATCTTTGGCTTCTGATATAAGTTACAAATTGCTTGGTATAGAAATACTCTGGGTTTTAATGAATGACTTAAATAAATTTAAGACTCTCCTGAAGACGGTCAGAGCATAGTCAGCATTCTGACCAGAACGTTGAGTTTATACCTCTGGTTCTTTTCAGAACCATTCTCTTAGTTGAGAAATTATTCGCACATGGTGTTTCTGTAAACCTTTCATTTATTAGAGTCTCCGCCATGCAAAGCCTCAAATCTTACTTAGTAGCTATGGATTTTGGTACTCTGTTTAATTTATAATGTGACTTGCTCTACCAAAAAGAGTGAACAGTTTTTGAAAATTTGGATTATTTATATTTTATTATATTTTAGTGTTTTGATAAGTGTATTACAAACCAATTTAAGTAGTGTGTTAGAACTAGTTTTAACGTTTTAAAGGCTAGAAATATGTAGATATTAAGTACTTCATTAAGTTTGTTGCAGTGAGTTTGCTATTTTTAAAAGCTGGTTTCTAAAATGACATTTTTCAAGCTCACTGAAAATTCAAAAATTTCTAGAAAGCATTTTTTTAATGATTAATATAAAATATGCTGAACAACAAACAAGATATTTTACAGAAGTATCCATGATATACCAAATGCAAGCTTATTTGATGTCCTTTTGTTTGTAAACTTAACTGATAATCAGTCACATTTGTATTTCATTTTAATCATTTCTTTGTTTGTTTACTTATATCATTTTTTTACCCAGGGTATGCCGGAACAATTTGAAACTGGTTTCCATTGGGTCACTGCAAACATTAAAAATTATTAAATAAAGTTAAGCAAAGTGAAAATTGCGAGGAAAAGTGCATGTTTGAGGCTAGGAACACTTTTACTTACAAACACAAGTACTATACAGATATTTACACAAATAATTTGGAACATTATTTGTAACAGTCCCCAATCCTCACAGTCATTAGTGGCTAGGGATGTGCATTGGAACCAGGTACCCGAGTTCCCGACCGTTAATGTCGGGAACCGGTTCCAGATTATGGAATCGAGTACCCGTAACCAACTTTACATATTACTTAGTAATTTCTCAGTCAATGAAAAAGAAATGTTTCGAATGTTAGTGGGAAAATTTCAAAATGAAAAACAGGATACATGGAAAACCAAAACCAATTTCACGTTGTATGATGCTTGCGAAAGTTGCAGTTTTCACCACATAGCTAAAGAGCTCACTGTGTACACTCTATCTAGGCGTATTGTCGCACCGATGTGTCAGTATTATCATGTGGACCTTTATGAACAATCT